AACTTTTTTCAAGTGTATTGATGTTATATAGCATATCTAGGTACGGTTCGACGCAGAACTTGCTGAGGTCGAAATATACGACGCTACCCTGGTCTTCTATGCGTTTATATATCATTTTATGCGCCACGAAACGTGGTCCCATTGCTTTGCTCAAATTGATTATGACGTATCGCCACCCGTGTTTCACATGATCAAAAACTTCTACGTGCGTCACGGTTGCGTTGTCAGTTACTTCGTATATCGCAGAGTGACTCTTGGAATCATTGACGTTATTAACTGCCCGCCGATGCTCCATCAGCGGTAAAACACTGTACTGCGTGTAGAGCCAATCACCCCGTCTAAGGTTAGCTAGAATTATAATTTCTGGTATAATTATATCTGTGCTAGAAATGTCGATGAGTAAGTTAGAAGGCCTTGATACAGGCATTAAATCCCCTCTATGGAATCTGGAATCATTGCCCATTATATTTTGTGGCCTGAATACGCCATTCTCAACTGGTGGTATTACTACTACGAATTTCACGCTAAAACGTCGGTGTCTGATCCATATTGTTGTCCGCTCTCGATCCGGTTCAACATCGACTTTAGTGGCATAGCAATGTATCGACGGTGAAGGAATGTTAGGGTCACGAGCAGTGTTATATATGTTGAGAATAGGTGATATTATAAATACATCTTTAGGGGACCTCATATTGATTACTGGAAGTGACCCTCGGCTGCTATAATAAGTTGGAACCATGTACCGCACCGCATTATCGAGTGTACGACGTCCTGACACAATGTATGGATGGAACTTATCTGCATCTAGATCTAAAGTTAATGATATATGGCTTCCTACAAATTCATCCTTTGATTCACGAGTACTAAGAAAGTAACACAAGTCGTCCTTTTCATAAAAAGTTGTTCGCAGCAACTTCCAGTTTACTGTGTTATAACGACTAATTGAAATAATATGACGACCTTGACGCCTATAATCCTGAACGTAAACATCCAAGGATAGCGCTGGTTGATATGATGAGTCGAACAAAATCTCATCACCGCATTTTACGAGATTGATTAGGGGGCCGTGTGAGTGAAACATTCTATAAATACCACCATCCCTAAAGGTTCCTACAAAAATATCTATATAAGGCAGAAAATCTTGCTGGCTGATATCCAGAATGACACTTCCGATCGGGTACATCGCTATAATCAATGCCGCTGCATATATTGCAGGCTTGGGATTCCATAAGCCATGTACCATTTTCTAATAATTATAATTTATACATAATTAACAATGACGAATGTACATCTTATGGATGATAAGTGAACTCATTTAGAAAGAAAAATATGTATGCCACATTCTTGCAGCTAGCGAGAAACTTGGCGACTACATTGAACGCTTTTAGGCTCACAGTATATAATAGGAATAATACACATGAACAACTCATTGTGTCTGTAAATGTACGCCGATAAGCTATCATCGTCATATAAGTGTGAAGAATGACTCTAGTGATGTGTTTTAAGAAACGTCGCTGTAACTGTAACCAGTATAGAATGCAGTGTGAATTGTATCCTCAATCAATGCCTAACGGCAACACACACGTGAGTGATCCACTGTATAATATGACTTGAGTTATTGGTACACATTGCCATAGGATACCCACCTCAGCGTCGTTATGGATTTAACATTGTTGCTAACAATGTCTGTCTACAATGACAATCGAATACATAATACAAAACTCGTTATAGTCTATTGTATTGTATCGAGACTATTTCAAAGGACCCTACTTGCCCACAGGAATCCATTCATACCAATATATAAAGGCTATATATACATTCAATATAAATAATATAACATACAAATAATATATAATGCAAATGATATTGCGAAGGTGACACGTTATGTCGTATATATTGTTTAATTCGTAGAGTGCAAGACCTATTCAGCCTCTACACTTCGATTATGGAATATTCAAAATAATGTAGTTCAAAAAAAAATTAATTAATATCAGTTTTCCTATTAAGGATGTAAAATACCGTACGTTACCAGGAGAGCTCCTGTGACATGCCTAGGTAATTGTAATGTGCTTCTATAAAATGGTCGCCATTCCAATCGAATGTCTAACGCATCCAGTGTTAGGAGTAACGATAAGTGAAACCCTCGGTTACAGCTTTAAAATATTCCAATAACAACATCAATCATTTACTGAGAAAATTGGCATGTTGATGTGCACCAACAAACACATTAAAATTCAAACATAGTCACATTTATTCACATGTATATCTGGTGAGGAATGGCGTCTCCTTCGTACAACAGCACAATAAAAGATTAATCACCACTTGTCTGTGTGGAACGTGAACGAAGGTCACGCAAAGCCGTTTCGAGAATGTCTTTTCCAGATGTCCTTCAAATTACTCGGTTATTAACTTGAAACACCAATTGATTACCATTGTCGCCTAGCATATTACTTTTAGGTCGGTTTGCAAGGTGGTTCAGTGCCTACTAGTCCGTGGTAGTGAAATTTCAACTTGCAAGACTGAATGACGCAAATGCTACGTCATTAGTGCTACCATATGTTATAGATTGGTAAACGCTTATAAGTGGAGGTAAAGCTGTTAAGGATGGTACCGAAAAAAATCGCAGTTTAAATAACTGTTTCTCCTAAGTCGCCGATATAATTTTTATTGCCGGCCATCGCAATTACTATGTTGTGAGCTAATATATCAGTTGCCAACAATGTACTACGGAAGTGGACCTCAAGCTGCTCTCTTCCGTGTTTTGCGGGTCTATTTTAGGTTTTCTGTCATCAATCAATATGAAATTTTCTTTTGGACCGTATATAAGTGACCTAACCTGTGCCATTTCCGTTATCATACATCTTCCAAGGCCAAAGCTGTTACACTGTACTAACTTTATGGTTCTCATCTGGGAGATAATAGCGAATTTATAACCCATTTTAGGCAGAAGGCCACGCCCCACGGGTACTATGGAAAATAATTTTTTAAAAGGGACATCTCCTACCCCTTCCTTACACATTATTAGTCATATTAGGTGATAATATACGTTGCTGAGCGGGCAATATACTATCAATTTTTTATATTGCGTTCCCCAGGCCTGCTACCACCTATCAGTATAATAATAAAATTTTTAATATTCATCAACTTATAATGACGTATAAAGTGACTATTGTCTCTGTGCAATGGCTTTAAAGTGTTTTTAAATCATAATTTTTGAGAATAGTTCATACCACATCCCGTTTGTGGAAAGCTTCCCTATAGAAATATGTGATCATGTAGAACAAAAGGTAAGCCTATGTTCAGTTTCGCAGTGGCTATGATTAATAGTAACACAGTGTTACATTTACATATTAAATATACTTAATGAAACTTTTTATATACTCTGTTAGTAGTTGGACATTAACTGCCAGAATGTCAACGGTACAATCTTACGTAACAACACTAATTACCTTCTACAGTGTGCCATTATATGTTGGTACTTGTAGATCATTGGGCACTTAGTATTAACCCTATTCGTTAGTTATAATTGTTCAACGTAATGTGTTGCTCTTTGGCACGTTAAAGAAAGGTATTGTACTCAGGCAAAAATAGATACAGAGATAGCGAATGAATTAAAGTCACGAATGTTCATACCAAAAGGACATTTAGCGAACTGTAGATGCTTATACTGCGATATCACCAGCGACATTTGTAAAAAACAAAGGCCCCTAAGTACCCTATCACATTTGGTCAATCTGCTGCTGGAGCCTATCAACCGCCGTTTGTAGTATACGACCATCAATATCCGAATCATTCTGTGAGTCTGCTTTGAGCTTCGAGAGATGTGCTTGGAGAGTGTCAATTTTTGACGAATTGGGTTCACCGCTCTCCGAGCATTTGCGAGATGAGTCTACCATGGGTTCTGGTGCCTTATATTGAGTTTCCGGACGAGATTGTTCCAACAAACGTGTACTATCGTCCAAAAGTGTTTCGCGAGCTTCATATAGGCGGTTGAATTGATTCATTGCACGTCTCCTGATATCTCCATTCGCCGGGTCCAAGCCAATTTTGTCCGGATGCCACTGTTTACAAAGCTGGTTGAAGGCCTGTTTAATTTCTCTTGGACTCGCTGAGTTTGGCAAACCCAGTATCTGGAACATTGTGGCTCCAATTTGCGATTTAAGTGTCTCCATCTTTTCGTCGTCTACTACACCACAGTTCTCCCGCATAAGGCAGCATGTTTTGACGGCATTATTCCAATCTAGAAGTTTTTCATAAGCTTGAATGCACGTGACATAGGCATTTGTATACGTCGGGATATGTTCCATACAGAGTTCGCAGGCCTCCACCGTTTCAGTCCACCTATCCAAATGCATGAGGCTGCGTGCCTTGTTGTAGTAAAGCTTGCCCAAATTAACATCCCGATGTACATTGTCTTCCTTTGTATCGATGCTCATAGCCTCTAACTGTTTCGATATGGCTTCTGAGTACAATTCTAATGCCCCTTCGAAATCGTTATCCCTGTATTTGTCTGATCCCTTTGATGCTATTTCTACAACAACAAGGGTGAGTAGCTCTCTGCGCAGTTTGCCGTTTGAAATATCAAGTGGCGTTTCATTTCTCTGGTTGGCCACGCTCATGTAACCTGTATGGATAGTGTATGGTTTCAGTGCTTGTGCTACTGCCACGGCATCTCCCTTGACAACACGGTGCCAGAGGTTTTCACCGTCATGTGGATCGCTTGGGAAAGATGCGAAATCAAATCCAAGCATCTTCATATAGCGGTACGCCTGTGTTGCGTTGCAAGCATCTCCAAATGCCCACATCATTGGATGACTAACACGTTTGTTGTATTCTGGTGCCATTTGGAAGTCCAAGAACTTGTTTACAATAGCGTCTTTTAAAATATCAACAACCCTAAAATTATCACAGTATAGTGCTGTGAAGAGATAATTGTACAGATTGTTGATATGACTGTACTTGAAGACGCTTCGCAGCACAATTCTGTTTAGAACTAAACCTACCTTTTCCCTACGAACGTCGTTCATTTGGGACGGATCCATATTGAACCTCCGACTAGGGTGGCTATTTTCCATTTCTTCTATAACCTTTTGTTCGAACTCTGGTGGGTAGGGGTAACGGTTGGTGAATGGGGAAAGATGATCCTCTACAAACATCCGTTTTACTCCATGCATCAAAGCTGAATGTCTAATCCTTGTGTGTAGAAGCTCGGCATCGTTCCGTATACTTTCGTTGATGAAATCAAAGATTTCCCTACAGTTGACTATCTCTGGCGTATTTCGCAAGTCTCTGTAAAGTTCTGCCTGAAAAGTTGGCGTCGCTGACAATTTGTTACTCAGATACAGATTCATCTGTAGCTTCTTGATATGTGAACGTAATTTAGAGTCCAATTTAGTGTGCTCTAGGATAAACGGCGGTACTGTTTCCATCTCATTTGTATCGTCGCCCTCCATTTCGACTGGTTCCTTTTCACCTTCATTTAGTGTCGATGTCCTTTTACGTGTAAGCTTTAAACGGCGCATTTCTGCCTCTAGAGCCTCTACTTTCCCTTTAAGTCTGTGTTTTTCTACATCATGAGCAGCAATTTGGCTGCGAAGCTGCATTATTTCGCTGTGTTTTGAATGTAATTGGCGTCCCATTGCTTTGCATATCTCATCTCGTTCACGTTGCATAGCGTCTCTGCTCCCGGCTATGGACTCAATCTGCATGGCGATTGTTCTGAGTGACGATGCCAGATCACGACATTTTTCATCATCTTTTGTCCCCTTTTCTTCCACATATGGTTCTTCATATTCAAAATTTACATCGAATATGGGTTCTGTATCGAACTGTTTCATTGGAATTTTAGTTGAATATCGGTTTGGCTGTTTGCTGTTTTTTTCATCACTCCCTTTTTCGCCTTTCGCCGCATTTTGCATAAATTCTCGTTGCCCAGGCCACGATTTTGTAGGTATTTGATCCACGGTTTCTGCAAAATGTATTTCATGTTCTAATATCATAGGGCTGCCATCATCGGTTGAAGTCTCGGGATCCTGCCTTTCAAATGTCTGTTGCAGCAAGTTTTCATCGTCTTGGTATATATCGTTGGTTCGGAAAAACTCCTCTAGTGCCGACTCGTATAACAGAGTGTTACATCCATCTAGATTGTTGCGGCGCTGTTGCCCTTTTTTGCGTTGATTAGCACTCCTTTCTTCATATTTTGTATCTGGTCCAGCGCCATGATAACGCATCATGTGTTTCCACTGATCATCTGTCGACGCCATGTTTCGCCTTTCATTGTTTTTCCTCGACATATGTCTATGCCATGTGGTAGGTTCTTCGTTGCTTTGTGCAGTATGAGTTTCATCATTACATTCATCATAAGAGCTTGCCATTCCCCATTGCAAATCTCTGAGATAGTCGTGCAACCTGTTTTTCGTATCACCATCAGCATATCTCCCTCGTCCTCTGTTGCGAGATTGCCGATATTTTCCCGAGTTAGTTTGTCTTGAGGAATTCGATGGTCCGTCTCCGCTCTGCATGTTCTTGTCGAAGTCTTTCGTGCGATTCTTAAAAACGCTTGCAAAGGCTTTTAGTGTGCAAGTATATTACAGTCCGAATCCTCTTCGTCCTAATTTTAAATTTCGGAAATAGTGTGTTTTTGTTGTTGTGCCGCTAGCATACTTTAGCCTGTTTTTTTGTCGTTTTCAGACATATTTCGGCGTATGTATGCTCATAGCGATACTTCTGATCGCAAAGTTACTAGTACTTTGTCGTAGCAGCGATATATGGCGCTATTGTGATACAACCGACTACCCACGAATGAGAGATGCCTGTGGTCTTGTGTTGTTGATCGTACCTCTGAGACGCCAGATATTAGCTTCCGGAGATCCCTTTGCTCCAGATTCCGTACTACTGAGCCTTTAATGCGAATGTGTTAGTAGTACCACTGTCAGATGTGTTTCCCAAAGCAGCGTTTTAGCCTCTTCGTTGAAATGACTAGGCGTTTAGACAGTTAAGTGAGTGGAACTGTAAGTGTGTATTTCTACAGTTCGAATTGAGTTGTGATTTTGATTAATGTAAATCCATGAACCCGCTCTTCTGTCCCATGTGTACGGCTGCCACCCACTAATTACGCGCACAGCTGTAGCGTGCCGTTGTTTTCAGCGGCTAGCGCTCTGGAATCCACGACAGTCACATCCAATAATTGTGTAACTATGGATTCTATGATTGAAGATGTAAGTTGTTATATTTATTTTGGGTGTAAAACGCCTTGTGATTCCATACTGTACTGGCTGGTGTTGACATTTTGCAGGAGAGGGAGGGTATAACTGGTTTCACTTTACGCCGCCATGTTTCGTTACTTGAAAAGCGTTTATTACGTAACCAACAGGTTCGTCTGGAGTACCCAAACAACCCAGAGCGGTAGGTACAACATTTCTGCGGCTAGTCTGATTCTATTTCAGCTGGGTGAAATCTGAGGTTGACCTAGATGACCAGATTCGTCTGTTTCGCGATTTATGTGCGCAACCGGAGTTGTTCGAACAGTTTGAGGAGCTTGGTGGTTTGCGTGTTTTGCGCGATACGTTATCGCATCCAAACATTGGTTTGTTTTTTTTTCATTTGTGATATTTCATCGCACATAGACATCGCAATTGCTACTCTAACAGTACTGGCGGAGTTAATTGATCCTGAGGCATTGGTCAATCTTAGCGGTGCCGAGCGTTTCTTGACTGCCTTACAGCAACAGTCTTTTCACATACCATGTGTTAGCGCTCTGTTGCAGATCGATGAGAGTGGCGGTGAATTGGACTACGAGGGCGCTCGTAGCGCACTTGAGTTATTGGAGAGTTTGATGGAGTTGTTTCCTTCAGTTGCGGGTGATTTGAGTTGCAATCGTGAATTACTGTTGTTTCTTCTTCGTCGGATGAAAAGCAGTAAGACGGTCGAATATGATTCGAATAGAGTACATGCTGGGGAGATTTTGTGCATATTGCTGCAACACTCTGATGACTGCATTAAGCTGGTTGGTGGCAGCGATATTGATGGCGTTGAGAAGCTTTTACGTATTATCACCGTTTTTCGCAAGAAGGATCCTGAGGGAGTTGAAGAAGAAGAGTTAGTAGAGAATGCTTTCCAGTGTCTGTGTACTTTGATGTTAATGTGAGTTTCGAGCTACATTTTACATTTTAAAATTATTCAGCCCGTCTAATCGCGTCACTTTTGGGAAGCTTCAAGGTGTCCACTTGCTCATCCGTTTGATGAAAGAAAGGCGTTCTATATACCAATTAGCTATAACATTGCTGGATTATGCTTTGATGGATTGTCCGGAGAACTGCACATTGTTCGTGACAGGGTTAGTTATCTTATACTTGCATAATAACTTAATAGGATGGGTTTAAAATGTGTATTTAGCATATTGATGCGCAAGGGTGTTCGTACTAAAGCTGGTACCGATGAAGAGAAGCGTGAGGACGAACATGTTTTAGGCGTGTTGCATTCATTGTGTTCTCACTGTACGGGTACGGAGCTTGCACGGGTTCTAAATAAATTCATTGAGCACAAATACGAGAAAATGGAACGTCTTATAGAGCTCCATGCCAAATACACAGCTTTAAGTCGTGCTGCGGGAAAGAAATTTGCGAACCGTAGTTCAAGTTCCAGGTCGCTGTCTTCTGCTTCACAAAGGAACGATTCAAACGAAGAGTATATGGAACGGTACGAAGCCGGCCTTTCTATCTGCCAACTTGTGGATTGTATACTGTTGCGTCTATATAATATGGGCAACTCGAATTTGAGCTCCTGTATGTTGGTTCTTTTGCACAACAAAGGTGTTGAGATGCAAGATATCTACGACAATATATCAGGTGAGTTGAGCACTATCTACACTACAATCACTATAGATTATCTCGACAACCTCTACGAGGGTGCTGCGGACACTCGTGAGAAGGTTGACCGTCTGCTGAAGTCATTCTTAAATGGTGCCATTGATAGTGGCCTGTTCACATGAGATATTTGGCCAACAGGAGTTCAAATATAGACGATACAACCATCAATGAAGCATACGAGTGTCACTTGGTATTATGTAGTTAATGATTTCGGACTCATTTCAATTTTTGCATTTGACTTTAGACATATTTTGGCCGCGTATAGGTTTAGTTCGATATTGGACCTTGATACAGCGCCTTTTAGCTTACACATCGAGCTTATATGATTATAACACTTCATTACAATTGATTTTATGTCCGAATGTTGTCTCGTAAATATCTATTTCTATCTGCACCTGGACGCATGGCATTCGGGGCGCTTAGACATGGTTCTATTTGGCTATCTGCGTTGCTTGGCAGTACTGTGCGATATTGTGATAACTCTATTCACAGTATTTTATCTAATAAACCGGTCAGTTGTAAGGTGTGTCACCTTTTGCTGATGGTTTTTGTGTATAGCTGGTGATAGGTCTTACGGCCTCTATCGGCAATTTAAAAGCCTAGACAGATAATATGTAAGTTTATTATGCTTCATTAACATACTATAATGTCGTTTCAGTTTTGGCGATTTTGAAAATCGCAGATTTGGATCTGTTGATTGCCCCTGTACTTTGGTCAGGGCTGTCCGACTGTGTCGACTTACAGGGTCCTCTCAAGCTTCTTTGTTATGATCATCTATAGTGTATCATTCATCGAAGATGGATAGTTCAAAATGGATGTCAGGTACTGCTAGTATAAGAGTGAGTCGCATTTCGTTGGGTTCAATGTTGCGCCACATTTTACTAGTGGTATTGTTCCTAGCGGCAACGTCGTTTGATGTTACCGTCTGTGTCTCTTTAGAGTCACAACAGCGACAATCTTCACCTACAGCCGCCATCAAAAATACAACTGCTTCTAACGCAGGATCTCCATCGGACAGTTCAAGCCATACACATGGTAGCGCCACCCCCGTTATCAATGTGCACCGTGTAAACGGTAATGCACGCCCGTTTGGTGGGAAATCTTTGCCTTCATGGGATTACGCTCGTCATGGAGCTGATTGGACATCTGGTGTTTGCAAGATCGGTGGCATGCAATCCCCTGTGGATCTTCATGTTGAAGGTTTGGTGACTCGTAGCCCGCAGAACTTAAAATCACTTTTTGAGTCTGTCTTGAAAAACAAATCCTTTTCCACTGCATTAAAGGATGGTTGGAAGCGTGGTGACATTGTTTACTCATATCGTCCTTTGATATCCTCTGTTCAGGTGTTGCGTACGGACAAGGTATTCCGTCTGTCTATTCCCGCGAATGAGGGCTCTGCTTTCGGAACTCTGTTTACTACTGATCGTCCTAATTTATACATGGCAACTCACATTGAGTTCCATTCTCCGAGTGAGCATACTTTTGAGGGTTCTGCTAACCGTCGTCAAGTTGAAGTACAAATATGGCATTACTATGGCGATGACGTATCTTCCGACACAGGTATTCACGGTTTGGAGACGAACGAGCATACTGACATGAACGTTTTGGTGAACACGCACGAGTTGACAGCTGGCTTAGGTAAGAATTTGGAGAATGTTGTTGGCCACGGACCTAACACCTCCTCGCGTACCTCTGAGGACGCCGTGAAACCTAATCGGGCTCATTCCACTGTCCGTACTCCTGCGTCGCATGGTGGTACTTTACGTTCTCCTAATGGTTCCGCTAAAGCAGTGCACAACGGAACTCACAGAAGCGTTGGAACACAAACCAATGTTGACATTCCGTCGGGTAGCATGGTAGACTACCATGCTTCGGGGTCAAACGTTACAGGAGAGAACTCTAGTAACCATATCTCTATCAACACCGGATCATCCAACGGCGCGAGTTTGGACATGCGTAACAAGCCCTCTCACGTCGGTGGTCATAAACATGATGTGGCAACGGAGACGGATGTTGTGGATACCACTGGTCACAATGTTAATGCCGACACTTTGTTTCACGTGTCTCACCTCGACAATGCTTCCAAAGTAGAGGGATCATCGGTGTACACTAAATCTCCTGGATCTCCCTACGATGCATCGAAGGGACACATGTTCTCTAAATCTCACTCGATGGAAGATCACGGTGCTCATGGTAATGTGAGCCACCATGTTAGGGATAGTGGAGTCCATGTGGATATCTCCGATGACTTTGATGTTGAGGATGGACATGAAGACGACTTTGACGAAAGTGATGACCTTAGAAGCGCGAACTATGTTGATGACAGCGCTGGTGCTAGTTTTATCGAGATCGCTAGTGATGTTGAGATGCCAGACGGTACGCATATAATTTCACCTGCGAGTGGGCAGGGACGCTTCCGTACTCATGGTTCTCAACAAACTTCAGATATGAAAGAATTGGGCGATTCATCTGCTTCTAGAGCAAGTGATGATAAGAAATCCCCGGATTCTGGCAAGAACGCGAGTGGGTCTAAATCGCATCCTTTACGTTCTAGGAAATCCAGGGCAGTCACTGATCTGGTTGAGAATGAGAAATTCGAATTGTTGCACAAGTACTTATTAGACCACTTACACAATGCTGCTTATGACGAGGACCGCGACCACCGTCACGTTAGCGGTAAGCGCCGTGCTCGTGATGTTGGCACCCATTGGGGTCGTTGGGCTGTGCTTTCAATGACCTTTATGAGTGAGGAGATGGACCGTACTCGTATCGAGACACTTAAGTCGTTTCCTTCGGAGCGTTTTATGGAGCAGGTTCTAAAGGTTGGTTCGGAGGTTCCTGTTGCTGAGGAGAGTAATGTAACTAGTGTTGGTGATCTTGGTTCTGGCGGTAGCTCTGAGCTACCTGTTGTTGAGTTGGAAACTCCCATTAACCTTTCCTCACTATTGTTGATGTTGGAGACTAAGAATTTGAACTATTTTGCTTATGACGGTTCGTTTACTCATCCTGGTTGCGAGGAGACGGTGAGGTGGTATGTGGCCAAGGAGCCTCTTCCAATTTCTACTGAGTTGATGTTACAAATACATCGTATGCTTAACCAAACTCGTGAGACAACTGCGCATTCGGCACCTATCAACAAGTATCGTGAATTGCAGAATGTAAATAGTAATATGCACAACGCTGGTAAAGTCCACTTGGTCCACGCCTACCCTATTGAGTACTTTGTTGCAGCTTCTTTGAACAGTACACAGGAGTCTCCTCTTACAGCAAAATCTGGCTTGTTGACTCAGTCGTTTGGTTTATGTGTTGCTGTAATGTTGATTGTGTTCTTTCAGTTATAGAATAGCGGCTATTATTGGCATACTTCGGGTTGACTGTGGCAACATATGCAAAGGCCATGGATGGTTTCCACAGTTTTTCGTGCCAAGGACATTTTAGGCTACTACGTTTGCAACGTGCACTTCGCGGCCCTTATTACCTCGTAGGTAACTGCCGTGAGTTCTGTAATGCCCCTGGACTCCATTAGCGCGCAACAAATGCGCTGGTGGTATCAGTTATCAAGTACACATTGTGTATGTACGTGAAACCAATTGATCAACACTTTGTAGTAAAATTGTCACGTGTTATAATTATAATTTTTAAAGTTTATCTTGTCCCTGTTTTGGTGGTACGATTGTAATAAAGGTCATAAGCATATGTATGGCCTCTACTGTTTTGTTTTTGTCTGAGTTGCAATTTTGATAAGCTGCCTCCAGCAAGTCGACAAGATTGTGTGCCTCTGGTTGCGTGAGCAGCGAGGCTGGTTGGTGACCATTTGTTACCATATGTTTGAGTGCCTTGATGAAATCGACAAGTGCGTTGAAGTATATTTGATGTGCTTCGTTGCGCAGTACATGCGTGACACCTTCGAATATGCGGTTACGTTTTGTGTGTGCTACAGCTTCTACATAGTCTCCGTTTTTGACCAGTACTGACGTCTTTATGCAGTGGAATAGTCCAGTGAGTTCTATGAGGCGTTTATTGCTTGGTGCGAGGCTCTTTACCAACGAGAAGTATACACATAGGTCTTCACCGGTGATTGCCCCTGTGCTGTTCTGTTCCGCATTATCGTAGAGATAGCAACAACATGCTTCCAGTACCGATATGCAGTTGTCTATATCTTGTATACAGTAGAAACATTTGAATGCTGCTGCCCATAGTCCTACATGTCCTGAGTACTGCGCCATGAGTAGAATAGCGAGTTTTGCTGCAGGTCGTCTCGTCGCTAGTTTGATAAGTTTCTGCAATAGTGGTCCTATCACTAGCATTCCGTTTCTTGTAGTTGCGGTTCCTATGAAGCACGTGTTAACTGCGTCATTGAAGCTTTCCGCTACGACATATTTCATACAAGAGTTGGCCTTTTTTTGAGGTAGTATAGTGGCCAGAAGTATTTTGAGTTCTGGTGATACATTGCGTTTCCTACTGAATGCCAGTTGTGTTAAATATGGTATATCGTTTGTCTTGTTGGTTGCATCGTCTAGTTTCCACAACGAGTTAGCGATATATACAAGATCTTCTCCGTCGAGCATTCCGGTATTTTCAAAGTATACTAGGAATATTAACGCCACAGCCTGCACCCTTGAGGCTTGTATTGCCGACATGAGTAAGCGTAGTGATTCCATGATCCCTCCGGCGAGAGCTACAAAATATGCATATGCAAGAACTCGTTCAACGACATTTGCATCCCCCGCCTTGATAGTTTCAACTTCTTGGGTTAACGTATGACACAGTCCCGCTGCTGCCATGGTGAGTGACGTGGTTGACCCGGCTAGCATGATGTGTATTTGGTACCATATATAATCTTCTTTTGTGTATAGTGCATCCGCATCACATGGCGCGTAATAGTCAGGGTATACTACGCTTAGTAGTAGTAGTACATAGAAATTACTTCCTTTTCCAAGCAATGTAAGGCTCTTTGTCTGTTTCGTTGGGAAGTATTCCGCCAAGAATTTGCCAAGAAGTACCTGTTTGTTACCATTCTGTTCCTTTCCCAGGAGAACATCTATCAGTAATTGGCAGAGTTCGTTGAACATTGGTGGATACTCTGTATCATTAATCCCTTGTGGTAGTTCGTACCTTGTGTTATTTCCTATCAATATGCGTAGTTCCTCATGTGCTCCTGCACGGAATAGTAGGTATGCGATGAAGAAGTAGTATTCGCTATTCCTTGGTTTCGCCTGCGGGCTTATATTTGCACTTTGTCCTGGGAAAATGAGTTCCGCGCACTGTACACATTTTGCTAGTACTTTGTCTGGTGTGTTGTTTGACGGTGCGATTAGTGTATCTAAAAATACTCCTTTAGTGTTGAGTAATGCCAAATGCAAACATCCCCAAGCTTGTTTTTGTAGATGTTTGAGTGATACTCTGAGATATTTTTGCATGATTGCGGGTTGTTTTCCGTCTCCTAGTAGTGCCAGGTCCAGCATGAGTGCTACGAGGTTGTGTGAATTAGCATTGCAGGCACTGAGTAGTGGTAGCATGTTGTCTACGAATATCCTTTTCGCTTCATCGGTTACTCCCGCCGTATAATGTGCATGTCTGTCTAGCCAGCTGAGTAGCATTTCTATTTCGTGTGACATAACAATATCTGGTATATCTCGTATAGGTTCTACTTTGCTTTGTGTTGGTGTTTCCGTGACTCTTTCTGTTTTTCCACGTATCCTTGCACTTTCTCCGGTTGATCTTAGTCTGTTCATTAGACTCTCTACTACTACCGCTTTATCACGTTCCCACAGTTGTAGATCTTTGTCACACCACGGTGTATCGCCACCATCCAGGGCAACATCATCGAGGTCACCATAGAAGTTATCTAATCCTTTTGTAGGTGCTCCTACGTGTTCCGTTGTGCCTTTGATTTCCGTATCTGTGACGTTAGCACGATCCTTAGACAGCTTGAAGAGGTTCACTACAGATGACTGTTGCACTCCTGGGTCTAGTGGCGCTAGCGCAGAGGCTGATGCCGTTATTATTTGCCAGTCCATATCTTCAAGATTATGTTGATTCTATCGGGAGTGGTGTATTGAGTGTCGTTTTTTTTTGGCTTCCTGTTGTCCCTTTTAGGACGGTTCATGTAAATGTCGTTTCGGCAAAAGATTCAGACCGTTCTATTCTTTTCGAGTTCGGTCCTATATTTTCTTTTATAGCTCCATGATGCGATTGGTTTTGTATTTTTTTTGATATGGCGCGTTCGATGCAGCGACTTTTGAAGAACCTAACCAAGTACGGCAGAACCTCGAGTTTTTATGGGCGTTTCTTCGCCTGTACTATTAAACTATTGAGCGATTATTTACACAGTGCCTGTGTAAAGTTTAAGTGTCATAGGCTAGCTGCTGATTTCGCTCATATGTACCCTCTCAGGTTGCCGCACCTTACCCAATTGCTCTACACCAGGTGTGACAAAATTGTTGTTATATAGTGATATATTTCTTATGAACCTGATTTTGGTGTACGAGAAGGTCGATGTGTTGGCCATATCTATCTCCTACAGCTTCGATGTATATATATGACGCTCCTTATGACTCATCCATAACTATTACTGTTAATAATTGTTACTTTGCATTGATAATAGCTTCTATTTGGTTTCATATGTGCCATTTAGAATGATCGCATTGTATTTTCGCCAAATGAGTTACACTCCCTGGTAGCTTAGGTTCGAGTTCCATTAATTTTGTTATGTTTGGTTGTTATTACGCAGACAATAGAAGTTTCGTTTAGTGTAATGGACGCCATAGGCAACTACGATAGCGACGACGAGCCTGTGTTAGGTTCTGAGTCGTCTTTTGGTCGAAGTGGACAGGCCACCGGATTAGACTCTCAGTCTAGTGGTGAAGGGACCACTTCCGTTATGTATATTTATAAAGAAGATGGCCCCTCGCAATCGGTTGTGAGCTATGCTGATGTTGAGACTATGGACACAGCTGTGTTGGAGCCTAGTTTAAGTTCTCGTATCCATTCTTCATATCACCTTTCCAGGGTTAATAAACCTCAAGATGTGGATAATCAGGCCTCTACAACTAAAAGTAGTGGAATCACGGCTCTATCGGTTCTAGACGAAGGTTCTACAGGTGTATTATCGGTTCAAATCGGCACCCGTCACAATTCTAGTGGATTATTGTGCGTTAGTGGAAGTGATGTTGATTTGGTTTCTGGTGAATCTTTAGATGTTAAGAACGATCGGGAATTGGCTACATTAGAGGCTGCCACCAGTGCACGTATGAAATTATGTCTGCGTGAGCATACTCGTGCTTCTGAATACATGGAGATGGCGAACTACCCTGTAGACCATCCTATGCGTCGTTCTATGCCTGTGTTGAACAAGGAAGAGCTTGCTTCTTACGTTAGGAAGTCAATAATGAACGGTGAATCAGGTAGCGGTTTATTTGTAACTCCCTGTGGTATGACCGAGAAAACCTATGTCGACGAGGCTAGTTTCGATGATCAGCTACGTCATGGTGACCATATGGTTGCCCAAGCACATCTTGGTGCGAATGACTTTAAACGTCGTCGTCGTTTGAGTGAATCCGAGGTTGATGGTGCAGGTGTGTTTGGTCCTTGGGTACCTTATGAAGAATTTGCTCAACCTGCTGCAGATGTTGTGGTATCTGATCCGGAGGCTGAGCCTGATCGTCCGAAGTTGCCAACATTTGATGCTAATACACGCAAGATGCCTCATGCTGGGTTGGCATTTCCTAGTTGCGCTCCTGATGTGGCCTTACCATTGAACGAGGTGGTTGTTGAGGATGGTAAGCAGGATACCCGTTACGACGGTGTGGTGGTCTCAACGTTTCATCGGAAGGTTGACCCTAATTCACCTCCATCGCGGTCATGGTTATTGCCTCCTAAGAATTTGAAATCATTTGACCCGGAACATTATAAAGCCTGTCTTCCAAAGCATGAAATCCATACTTATACGGGTCACACCATGGCGGTACAGGCGATTCGTTATATACCTCGTACTGGTCATTGTCTTCTTTCAGCGTCTATGGATGGTTTTGTAAAGATTTGGGATGCTAATAACAATCGTCGTTGTCATCGAACCTACAAAGGTCACTGCAAGGGTGTTCGTGACATTTCTTTTGCGAATGTTGATGGTAGCAAGTTTTACAGTTGTGGTTTTGATTCTACAGTTATCCAATGGGATACTGAATACGGTAAGGTGATTGGTGTCTACGGTATGGACTCAACTCCATTTTGTGTTACGGTTTATCCTTTAGATGAGGGTATATTTATCGTCGGTGGTGCTAACAAGAAGGCTACTCAGTTTGACGCCCGCAGTGGCAAGGTATCTCTTGAGTATAGCGCACATCAATCTAATGTGAACACTGTTACATTTTTTGACGATAGTCGTAAGCTGGTGACTACCGGTGATGACCGTCGTATGGCTGTTTGGGAATACAATATCCCAGTTGCTGTTAAGCAGTTATCTGATCCTTCTATGCACAGCATGCCTGCTGTGGTGGCTCATCCTAGTGAGAAGTTTATTTTGGGTCAGGCTATGAGTAACCAGATATTAGTTTACGAATCTTCCGGTACTCGTTTCCGTTATTTTGGAGGGAAACGTTTTAAGGGTCATTTGTGTAGTGGTTATTCAATTCGTCCTGCGTGTTCACCGGATGGTCGTTACGTTGTTAGTGGCGATGCTCGTGGTCGTGTTTTTCTTTGGGATTGGAAGACTTGTCGTAACCTTGCTACCCTTTCGGGTCACAAGTCTGTGACAATGGATTGTCAATGGCATCCTTTACAGCCATCTCGTTTAGCTACATGTTCTTGGGATGGTACTATAAAGCTTTGGGATTGATGTATATTGTGTTGGAATTATTTTTCATTAGTGTTTGGCATAGAATTTACATCTTCATGCTCTGGTTACTGACTGTTACTCTGGGTTTGAGATGTGTGCTGCTGCTAAATGTGTGTCTACTGCGTATCACATTTTCTTTAAATTTGGTCATATACCATTCACATAATTTTAACTATTGCTTTAGTATGGCTCCAAGTCGTCGTAACCCTCGGTTACGTGGCGGCGGCGGTAGTTGTGGAAGTATCCATGACGTCTATGCGCGTGCGCTTCGGTTAGCGTCTAGTGTTGATGCTTCAGGTCCCGCTGATGGCACTAGTGAACCATCAGTTGCTATGGAGGCTGAGCCTTCTAGCGATGTGTTAGCGCCGTCAGAGGAAGGTTCATCATTATCATGTGATTCTCGTGTGAAGCTGTTCATGTGGGACTTCAATCAATGCGACAAAAAGCGATGTACCGGTCGTAAACTGTTACATATGGGACATATAAAGTCACTTCGTATAGGTCAGTCGTTTTCCGGTATCGTCCTTAGCCCATTTGGTCGTTTTAAGTTATCTTTGGAAGATGCGGATTTGGTACGTACTCGAGGTTTGGCTGTGATCGATTGTTCATGGAACAAGGTTGACAGTGTAAATCAAGGTCAACTAAGTGTGAGTAAGTTACCATTTTTATTTTTTGTATATATTTTGTGTTATTTGGTTGTGCAATTTACACTTTTGCAGAGCATGCTCGGATCCTTCCATTCCTTATCGCAGCTAATCCAACCCATTACGGTCGTCCATTTGAGCTATCATGTGTTGAAGCACTTGCCGCTGCCCTCCACATACTAGGTACGGTCGCATATGTCCCCTTTATATTTTTGTAATTAGGGTTAGATGATGATGCTAGTCGTATCTTGAACTGTTTTGGTTGGGGTCGTAGTTTCATTGAGATAAACTCTGCAAATTTGGCTTTGTACCGTGCTGAAGGTTTGACTAGTGGTGCTATGGATGATCTTGAGCAACGATTTTTATGCGATGTAGCTGCTGAGAATGCAGAGCGCCGTGAGTCTCGTCGACAATTGGACTACCAAGATATTGGTGCAGAAGATTCTAGTTAGTATTTGTCCAATCGAATTCACTATACTGTCTGCGCATCCAGCTGATTGCTTGTGTTTGTTTGTCGATTGTCCTGAATGCGCGTTGCATAACGTCCATTCTGAGTATGCCTGCTATGACTTCTCTGGCGACTGCTTGGTTGACCTTGGTGAGGTCCTCTACAACACATGCTATAGCATCTCCCGATAGTCCATAGTCAACGTGAACGAAGTCGAATCCTCTGGGTATTAGTCCACGTACCCCTGTTTTTCCTGTAACATTTATAAGTTTTCGGTTATTTGCCCACTCGGGTACAATTTCTGTTAATGTTTTTTTGAATATACTTTTTGCTTCGTCAATATAATTTTCTGGTATTGCGAAGCATTGTATATAAGCGTGTTGATAGTATCTGGTTCCTCCGTCTTCTTTGTTCCTGTGGTATGGGTCATTGAGTGCGGTTTCTACAAATATAACAGTTTTATGTTGTTGATGGAACATTTGTACAAGTGTCTTTTGGTAGTTTCTGATTTCTGTATATGTTTGATCATCAAGGTAGAGAGTGCTTTGTATATGTTGTTTTGGTGCTATGACTAATTGGTCATATAATATTGCTTGTTTGATGTGTTCCATGGCCAAGAATACATTTTGCGATTGCGATATGACTAGTTCTTTTTGGGTATGAGATAGACACCATGGGCATTTGCTTCCATGGTTGTCTATTCTTTGTGTCAGTGGTCTAGTTCTTATATCCAATTGTTTGAAAGTACATATTTGCCTGAACTGACATGGTCCCAGTTTATGTCCTTCTGCTCCTTCTCCTTTGAGTATACATAACCTTAGATTAGAAGCTGCTTCTCGATTTGCCATATACAATGCTTCATCGACTTGTAGATGGCGGCCGCGCCTATGTTCGCCTTTGTGGCGTTTTGTGCCATAGCCCATGGCGCGGTAGACTAAAAAAATAAAATTGGTGATATACTGTGTTATATCGTTTTATACTATCGAACTATATTATACACATCTATCTGTTACTGTCCAATAGGTTGTGTTCCACCAGCAACGTAACCGATAGAGCATGATAGTCTGTTGTAGGCTATTTGTATGGGTGTTTCCGCTTTTTCTAGTGCCGTAAATTGGTATAATCCGGGTTCTAGTTGTGCGTTTGTAACTTGTGGATCCAGGCGTATCGAATGATCATCTGATCCTCGTATGTCGCTCGGGTTACTGTGTAGAAGTTCGAATGTTTGTACTGCTAATACCACCCCTTGAGTACATGTCATGATAAGCTGTTGATGGTCACAATTTAGGCTTACTACCCTTTTCGTGATATTGATCTTCGTTGGTGATGGTATTGTACATGGTTTGGCGAGATGTGAATCTACCTTGATTAACGATCTTCTTGGTTTCCTTCTTTCTGGGTGTTCGAACATTTCACAAAACGCATTGACTAGGACAGCTGTGTTTGGCAGTGGTTCTTTGAAATGGCGTGAGAAGCAACGTAACTGTCCCCAAGCTAGAACTCTCTGTTCTGCACCTCTTTCATCACTGTTTCCTACTAGGGCCGATATCATGCGTCCGTTGGTACATATAGACTTGATGTTACCTCTAAGATTGTAACATTGCGCGAATGTTGGACTGCCTCCCAGGACATGGAGTACGTAGCGTAGCTCGGCCGTGTATAACACCGTGAGCGCCCCTCCACATGCTACCGCCTCTATATGTTGGTTCCTGATAGCTTCACAGTGTGCCTTGATATCCTCTGGCGCATATATGATATATCCAAAGGCTCTTCCAAATACGAAGTACTCTCCTACAGATAGTCGTATAACCGAATGTGCTTCACCGCACCATATCCCAGTAACAGCGTGTATTGGCAGTAGTGTTGGCGACCATAGATTCACTAATCTATGTCCCTGTCCACATTGTCCGTAGCGATTATTGCCCCAAGTGAATAGCCTTCCTTTTCTATCTAGTGCTAGTGAGAATTCGTTCCCGCAAGCAACTGATACTATTTCTACATCATCTATTAGTATCAATTTGTGTCTTCCTGCCGGTTCTATATCAGTATTTTCCAATTGATAGAACTCCAGTGGTTTTTCCATGTACATGGCATTCGGTTTTCTCGTGGCATCTGTATCCAGCACTGACTGTCCTCCCCAGGAATATAGCTTTGATCCGCCACCATTCGAATATCTGACTAGCATGAGACTGTGATAAGCTGAGATAGCAAACTGTAACCCATTGAGCTTGGGAGATTCAGCTCCACATGTTTCGATGAGCGATCTTTGTACTTGCAAGAGATGTGTTAGCAGTGTGATCGGGTATGCAGCCCATGACCGAGGGTATATCATTCTTATATCTTGGTAGGCTCTGAAATGGAAGAGTGCGTGTCCTATAAGGTTGCAAATTTGTCGCAGTGGTACCGATGCAGCGTGTTCCCTTATATTTAGGTAGTACAGTATATTACCAGGTATGATCGATAATCCTGGTTTGCGTACTCCACGCCACCAGCGTTGTATAGTTTTTGCTGCTTTTACCCTTGTTAAATATCGTATCCTTGCTACCTTGGTCATTGCGATTGCTTGTACCTTATCAATAGCTGCCCTTAGGTATAGATACTGTTTCCTTACAAAGTGCATCCTGATCATATTTTGTGCTTTTACAAATCCCGGTGGCAGGTTAGTTTGCATCATGATCAATCTCTTAATTTCCACAGTTGTAGAATTAACCTTTTTGCGTTCTTTAACGAACTTGAGCTGTTCACTTAGGCTGATAAGCATAGCCCCTTTTCTAACAATTGAGAGTAAAGCTAGTTTAAGCCCCGATAGCACTTCATAACGGCACCTTGCTTTATATCCTCTGAACTGAGCTTGTATCCTCGTTGCTGCGACTTCACGTTTAGGTTTTTTCTGTACTATTGCCGCAGTAGCTAGGAACCTTCTGATAGTCGCCTGTACTAGTGTCAGTGCGAATTCTTCGACCTTTGCACGTTTCATCCTAGCATACTGTCGTCTCACGGTACGACCGCGCCAACATGCTTGTATATATGTAGCTGCTGCATGTTGTATACAGTGATATTCCTTTTCATGATATCTTTTTTCCATAGAGTGTAGTAGTTGTAAGGTCTTGTGCGATGACGACTGGAGGCTAACCTTTAGATGGTATACTACTAGGCAATATCCAATAAAGTCTAGGCTGAGGCTTCGTCCTCTAGCTATTGCGTTGACATGGTCTCTGAATATGAGTTGTCGTGCTCGTGATTGAAGTCTAACTACAACTCGTCGTAGCACTCTTTTTAACTGTATAGTATTGTAACCTATCCACCAACTCTGTATCAGTCTTACACTGTCTACTACCCTGTTTAGATAGCTCGATACTCTTGCCATGAGTTTTACACATAACGATCGTTTCAACGTAACCTTTTCTCCTTCTATACGGCATGCTGAATCCGGTACATTGAATGCGTGTAGCATAAGCCTGAACGCTTCTTCACCTTCTAATAGCGGTATTGTCCGGTGCATTGACGGCTGTAGTGCCACATATGCGATTGGCATGAACGTATTTAACGCGACTTCCAATTCTAGGGTGACCTGTGAATGTTCCCTTTGTGCCATACAGAGGTCTATAATTGGTATATTAGTTGACAGTGCTCGTTTCAGCAACCTTACATCTTGTGCTATATGCTGTGGTTGTACATTTCCATGAGTCATTGCTGTTTCTTGTTCATCTTTTCGTATATGTTTTTTTGAATGTTTTGTATCCGCCTGTAGGTTAATTATCTGTCATATATTTAGACTGACCTTTTTGTATATTTTGCGTCCCAACCTTGGATACGTGCATACAACGTGATATGTAAGGTCATCTCTCGTAACGCAATCGTTAAGAAACCTGATATAGCTGAGTGCTACGGCACATGTTCCGTATACTGTGTGGTTTGACCTTTTTGGTATCAATAGACTAACAACAAATTGGTTACTTGAATATGATAATAGTTTACATATCCCTTCCGGTAATGCGAACATTGAAACTTCATCTTTTGCAATAGACACTAGATCATATTCCACATTTTGCCATGAGTGTTGTACTGTCGTAATATCTCCAAGATCAACTGCAGGATCGTAATTTTTATCTTTTGAATATTTTTGTGCCGCTAGTACGATCTTGGCCAATAACCCTGTATCTTTTGTCAACGTGTTTACCGCCGCAGCATTCCTCCTTGCAAACTCTGTAGTTGACACATTGTTTCCACATTCCGTTGCGTTACTGAAGTGGTATACGAAAGCTTCTTCAGAGGCTCTTCTTGCTATTTCGGTATCACCATGTTGTTTGACCCTTAGTGACTGTGGGAACGACCCCGAGTTGCAATGTATAGCGATGGATGAACATGCAGGTCCTGCCCTTTGAATACTTAGGAACCTATTAGCTCTTCTGTATATTGCCAGCTTTAATCTGATAAACAATGCCGGTGCGATGTTATCGAACTGCCATTTGTTATTAGCTCCTAATAAATCCAATCTGAACAATAGATCAGGTGACGTCAGTGTATTTGCAGGTGCCCTCAATAAAGGTATATCTATTACTTCTGCAGCGAAAACCAATATATCTTTAGGGTTTAGAATAGTATCTCGATTATCTTTTATTGTAACTCTTTTTCCTGAATGTCTGCGTGTCTTGTTTGTTTCATCATCCTTATCTTGCGTATTCGGTTCAGTTTTCTTCGTTTCCTGCTCATCGATACGTGCCCTTACGATATTGTATGTATCAAATAGTACCACAGCTGCTAATATTTGCATGATCGATCTAACTTCATCAGTTCCAAATCCTATCCTTAGCAGTAACCTAATAGTTTGTTCAAGTGTATCCATATGTATTTTTGGATCTCTTATTTCATGTTCCGGTATAATATCTAGTACCCTTCTTGCATCTGGTGGTGTCATTTTACATGGCGCCAGCCATTTTCGATACTTTCCATTTTCAATGCTGTATAGCAGTGCATAGAATACACTGGGAGGCCTTATAACAACATTATTGAATGCTGGATCTGAGTTCCTTGTTTCTAGATATTTGCGATATTTTGCCGATACAGCGGCGCTGATAGATAATATAGTTACGTTTTTGTATTTGTACCTACCATGAAGTATCCGTTGCTAGATTTGGTACCATATTGAGTGCTACTAGGTGGTTATTGGCATCGAAGTCCACTTGACACGTAATCATAACATTACGGCATAGCCTATCGTATGAAGCGAAATCTCCGAAGAACTCCTGTAGTTTGTATATGGCGATGACTTGATCGCTCATAGTTCCCGTTGGCTGAATGATTCTTAAGAGTGGTTGTTGTAACCTACTTCATAACCGATAACATGTGCTCTTTGCGTGAGATACAGTATCGCATGTTTGGCTATATCCATTTGTGCAAAGGCTGCATCGCCATATACGAATACGTTACATCTTTGCTTCGGTGGTTGTGTTGCCGAAGTGTCGGTTGCATCGCTTATGGTGGGATTTCCCTTGGTTGCTACCGTGACCCGTAGCACCTCGTTTAATAGTGCAAATAGATGAGGTGCCGCTTCATTTTCCGCGAATAGATGTTTGCCATACTCATTTTTGAGGTCACTGCCCTCATCTGGTATGAGATAGAAGAGTACATTTCCGAAATATGAGAAGCATCTGCCTCTCAAGTATCGTCTGTATATATCTTCAACTACATCATTTCCTGTAAGTCCATCTAGATAATAGAAATCTCTTAATGCCTCATCGCCACTGAGTAAGGATGATTATAGTTTGTTTTTGTGTTACCTTGGTGTGAATGTTGCGGCATCTTCAGTGGCCACGTTAAGCCCTGCGCCATCGTTAGCATCCCCGGCGTACATTAGTGCCGCTAATATAGTGCGGTGTTATTGCGATTTGAGTGTACCATCCAGGTAGCTTGTCTTCACTTCAGTTGAGGTTGATATTGTCTCGAAAACTGTATCATGTGTTATTTCCAGTGTTACCCAAAGAGCCGTATGATTAGACAAACAGTAAATGTAGTTACGGATACTCGTCGGAATGAGCCAGTTTTCACCAGAATGTGTTTTATGATGTATATTTATCGTTTTGTAGCTATGTTGGTGGTTCCTGTTGGTATTGTTTGTGTCCATATATCTTCCTACACACTGCTAGTGTTACACATGGCGTTACAACGTTGTCAACATTGTTACCTGTAATAATGCTTTGTATTTTAAGTGTCGGTTGTAATGTTTGATAGTTTATATGTTATTTGACGGCGTGCTCCCACTCGCAACCTGCGTGGAGTGCGGTGTACGGCACCTTGTATATAAATTATTTTGTATTAGTTAGGTGAAATAATAATTGCTTTTCCCAAAATGTCTGACAAATCGAGCGAAATTTCAGACACCGAGGTTGAAGAATCTGTTAATGTTGATGAGTGCGTGGCTGAGGCTAACAAGCTGAAGGACCAGGGTAACAATGCTTTCAAGACTTCTGACTTTCAACTTGCGGCTAGTGAGTACAAGGTATGTTGTTATTAAATTTTTTGTATATTACTGTTTTTGTAGAAAGCCATAGAATGGCTTGGCAAACTCCCTTCAACAATAGCTGAGCACAACGGTTTGAAGAGTGTCTTACATTGTAACCTTAGCGCTTCTTACTTAGGTTTACATGAATACAGTCATGCTATTAGCGCTGCTGAGGATGCGTTACGTTTCGATTCTGGTAACCAGAAGGCTAAATATCGTCGTACGCTTGCAAGGTTTAATGCCGGATACCTTGACGAGGCTAAAGAGGAATGTGAGGCAATGTTATCTGAGGACTCTAGCAACAGTAATGCTAAGCTGTTACTGGTAAAGATAAAATCTAAGCTTAAACAGGTCCATGCTGAGCAGAAGAAAGCTTTTGGTAGTCTTTTTGACAAGACTGGTGGTTTATATGAGGACCGTGCTGAGGAGATGAAGCGTCAGCGTCAGAAGAAGTACGACGATTATGTGCGTGAGCGTTTGGACAAGTGTGAGGAGGTGTTGGACATGGCTGCTTGGGAGCGTTATGAGGAGGAGCAAGAGAAGAAGCGTGAGGCGGAGCGTATTGAGAAGGTGAAGTCTGAAGAGGAGAAGAAGCGTAACGGTGTTGATAATCGTGAGGTTCCTAAGAGTGCCGTTTCATCTAGTTCATCTAATAAGAAGCCTAAACAGGATGAATCGGATATGGATGAAGAGGACCAGAAGATAATTCAGGAAACCAAGAAGATGGGTATGTTGTTATTTTTACAAAATATGTTAATTTTAGGATATTGTTATTTCGGTAAAAACAAGCCTGGCGGTAACCTTACAACTTCACGTACTCCACAGAATATCGAACCTACACCTACATCGGTTTGTTACTACCTCACCTATGTGTATATATCTTTACGTAGCCGACTGAGAATATCTCACGATCAATTTCCTCTTGGAATTCTAAAGGTACTACCTATGAGGAGAAAGGTAAGTTGTGGTATCATTAATTTGGCATGTTTATTTTTTCTTGCAGACATGTCTTCATGGTGTAGTGATACGTTACGTGAGACCTTGTCCCTTGCGTCATACGAGAACGACCCTTCTCAGAACGATTCAAGTTTCAACGTGATGGAGATGCTTAGCAGCGTGAGTGTGCCGTGCACGTTATCGGACTCCGCGCAGATCAATATCGACCGTATAAATGAAGATGGTAATTTGGATAAGATCCAGAAGCTTGCTATGATGATCCATCGTAGCAGTATCAAGGTCACCTCGGTGGATGATATGGAATGTGACGCTCAGATAGCACTTATTCGTGCTACCCGTCGTTACATGTTTGATTTCAGCTGTACTCTTAAATTCACGGCATCTATTGACACTGCGTTCGGTTCTAGTATTGCCAAGGATGCATCTTCTGATGGATCCCAGGCATCAGTTTATAAAGGTAAGTTGTTTGTGTTCCCTGGGTTATGACCATCGTTTCTTAGGAGCGTTAGTGTTAACTGAGATATCTAGTGAGATGGAGAAGGGCAAGACTTATATTGACTACATGAAGGCAAAGTTTAACGATACTGTAAAACCTGAGCACGGGGAGCTTATGCGTTGCATGGTTGACAAGTTTAAATCCGCCGTTAGTGAGCGCATCAACGAATTTTTGACAAAGTACCAAATGCAGTGATGGCTCCTGGACTATATTTTGCGTAACCTGTAACCACATTTATTAATTAAGTTGTTGTGGCTCATTTTATAGACATGAGTATCGCTACGATGTTGCCAATACCAGCATATGTTTTTTGTAGTTGCCTGGCGGGAGCTTGTGTCTGTGAGGTTTGTATAGTCTTGATTTCTCCAAATGAGGTTATCCCGCACATAATGTTGTTATATATCTAAATTGGTAGAAATATATTAATCGATAATTGTTACGTTGCCTTTTAGGCAAGGGGAGTTGTCCGTGTTATGTGTGTCGCCGTGTATCACGATGGATAACCCTTTGATTATAGATGTGAAATGCCATAACAGCTGTATAAGTAATATGAAAAAATCATTGAAGCATGATTGCATCAGCCGTAACTCCTCTAAATGGGCGGATCGTGCATCCTTGGAGTTACTGTATCTGGACTTTCTCTCTCATCATCTAATTTCGTATGACAGATGGCTTATCGAGGCTACTATGGTATCGCCAGATAATGGTAGTGTGCTAGTATCAGAATACAATGGTACTATAGTGTTTTCCGAGAAGAATGGGAGAGTTTTGTTATCGGAAGATAGTGGTATAGGTACAGAATGTCGTTCACGTTGGAAACATATTTGTATATCAAGGTCACCTTTACGTGTACGTCGTTATTTGCGTCGATATGTTGCTACCAAGCCTTTGACAGCTTTACATATCCCAGATAAATTCGGTCGTCGTCGAAGTCGTATATCTTGGTTACGTCGTAGGCACCCACATTATTTCCTTGATGGTTATCTTAAATCACCATATAACATTGTTAGGATAAAGAAGAATGTCTACTTTAAATTATATAATTCAGTTGAGCGAAGGTTAATGCGTTATTTTGGGATAAAATTGCCGGAATCACAGTCTATAGTGAACGGTTTATTTACTAATGAGGATGATATGATGTTATCATTTTCATCTTACATCGCAGGTACTGAGCGTTTGTTACATGCGTTATCGAAGAAATCGGAATTTTATGTACATTTGCTATTTGTAGCGATGATCTCACAGCTACGCAACCTTCGACATCTTATCAGCCGCCAGATTCCAACGATCATGCTAGTTGAACTAACAATGATCAGTACTGAGGCTTTGAAGCTTACGTTGGTGTATTTGCATCAATTTTGTCTCTGCGTATACGGTCGTAGGATGAGCAAGTTGGGGGTGCGTGTAGCTGAGCTTGAGGCATTGGAATCTTCGGCGGCAATCACCACAGCTGAGGACCACCTTAACGACGACCTGTTAAGTGCCACCCCTGAATCCATCGCAAGCATTATCAGTGACATCTCCGATGGATTGTATACTCCCAGTCACCGTGAGTTGCAGTTTATCGAAAACATCAAGCAGTTGCGCACCCTGTACGATGCATGTATGGAATACAAGCAGGCTATTGATAATGTGGGTCATCGCACATGGAAGCAATATCGTAGTGAGGTTGAATGTGAGGTTGTAATGCCCTACGAAGACCCCCTCAGGCCTAGTTTCCAACCTTGCGATAAAATATCAAGCCTATATACTGGGAGTGACAGTGACTCTATATGCAGCACCCCTAAATCATCATTACCTGAGAATGTTACGGAATCTGACAATTGTGGTAATGCAGTATTGATTGAATTCATTACAATTGTTGGTCGTTTGTTGTTTCATTGGATCATCGCACTTTGTAAGTACGCCGTTGAAGCTAACAAGATAATATCAGACCCGGTATTCTTAGAGTACATGGCCGTTGGTAGCTCAAGTCTAGGTTGTTTGAGGCTTTATAGGCAAATTCGTGACGCCAACATGTCTTTACATCGTGACCCTCGTCTGAATGCTGCAACCCGCAAGGATGCCATGATGACAGCGGGTAGATTAAATAGGTCCATGTTGGAGAGCAGATCGCAGCATACTATTGGTACAGCATCATCGCAAAAAATGAAGAGAAGAGGTATATATAGCACCTCAACAGAATCGTCTCCGGATGACGTGGAATTACATACTCCAAAAATGCGGCATGCAAATGTCTGTGTGGGAGCTCCATCTAATGTTGACTCCGAACGACAAGTTCGGTCTTTAAGCAAAGACCATCGTAAATGTAGGGTTATCGATGCTCGATCGTCTGGTATTCGTCCATCTATTCCAAGCGAGTTACCAGATTACGATCGTACACCGGCTCCACGTACTGTGGAGTCTGCTGATTCGTCTAAACCGGTTCTTTGCAGCCAGGCGTTAACGGAATATTCTGAAGCCGAAAATTACACTCAATGGTTATCTTGTTCATCCGATGTGGTGGATGATATCCTGGAAGATAGTGATGAAGCAAGATCACCAACTATGGCTGCAAAGGATGGTTCAAGTGTGGTATCCGAGGTTAAACCAATTGATGGTCCAACGGTGGTCGCTGATGTGAAACCACATGTTAATTCGAGTGTTGAATTGGAGATTGAGCCCAAGGTAGACTCAAGGAAGGATTCAGAGAACGAGGGTACATTGTCATCTGGTGATTCTGGTTCACCCAAGAGTGACGTCGCGATAAGTCCTTCAACAAAATCGCGTATAACTCAGCGTCGTCGTGGTGTATGGGCACGTGACGAGGTACAGAAGTTGGTGGATGCTATTAATACCCACGGCACTGGTAAGTGGGCATTTTTTTCCTGCACTTATTTCGGCGGCCGCAAGACCGGAGTCCAATTAAAGGACAAATGGTGTAACCTGATGCGTTACAAGTATGTATACCTGGATAAGAAGTCAGAGAACACGAGTGTAGACACTCGTGCTTCCTGGCGTCTTGTGGACAGTTTCTAGAGACGTAAGGTACAATATTAATGCTGTACACTTGAAATTATATAGCGTTCTATAGATTCTAGAAAGCGTATACGGCTTTCTTCAGTTTTAGTTGCGCACTGTTGCGCCAGTGCGAATGTTTTTAGCTTTTCCATGCGACGTCTCCACTGCAGAGCTTCTTCAGATATCTCTGCATGTTCAGAAATTGTAGAATCTACGCCCATGGAATCTTCTGCTGTAGTTAATGTGCCGCCCCTTACCTTGCGGTTTTCGTCAAGGTAACGACGGATACACACCAAAGCGTCGTCCGTTGATACAGGCTCTCCCTTGGTTACCACCCTCATAGATACCGTCTTCCATAACAAAATATATAGCATAACACTTTTCCGCTCTAAAATGATTGCGATAATGTACTGACGCCATAGAAGGCAGTAAGTGTAGTGAGCTGCCAACCCGATGGTTGGCAGGTTAGATTTTTCCGTGATCAAAATTCCATACATTTACATCATACTATTATACCTAATTCATTTAAGAGTACGTGCAGCGAGCTGTAACCATGCTGTTAAATGCGTTGGCAGAGAGTCACCATGATCCATCTTGAGGTACCTAAAAATGTTGATAAACATTGGAAAGGGGTACCTACAAGCGATATTGAGGAAACCTGCAAGGAGCATTGTTTCCATGAAGGTCACGAGTCAATGACTTGGGTTCTGAACATCCTACCCAGTTATGTTCAAAATTAACCCATTCTAGTACACCCTGATGGATCAAGCGAATGAATATACGTTGTAGTCCCTGATGATATATATCAATGATGAAGTAAAACTAACTTGAAAATGCGGAATAGCTAGACGTTCCATTGGAAAATATTGCTTAAGTTCCTGTAAATCATGCTCTATGTCGATCATGGTCACCGGTACTACACCCTGGCAGTGTAACCGTGTGGTTGCCACTAGGATGTAATGTTCTGCTAATCCCAGCTGTTTAATTAGACGTTCAGGCCAATTTGAACCTTTTGTATCACGTAAAGCGCTAGAAAAGGCTTCAGACGATATACCCACTCGCCCGTTGTCCAACTCCGTAATGGCATCGTCCGGCAAGTGAACACATGCAGAACCAACGAGACTGGTAATGCTACTACCACATACCAAGGCCTCGCCTAGTATCGCCTGAGAAAGTATATATACACACTACCATATATATCTCTCCTCACCTTAGATTCGTCATTAAAAGTTATATCCACATCATGACCCAATAGTGACCGGTTATCTGGGTTCATGATAATGGCCATATCTTCTGAGCCATTAGAGTACACAGTTTCATGCATAAACCTTGATCTCACACGTTTCTCCAGTCGTTCTGTTATCCTTATATCCGGGGTTATACATATTAGTGTCATACATAAATCGCTAGATGCGATTAAGTTACCAAGAAAATATAGTAGACCTTGACGACGGTCACATGAACCCGTGCTCTCGCTACAGTCATTGCGCCCCTTGGTAAACACATCCACACCGTCAAGCACCAGGATCAAATATATACGCGCTTGATATAGTAGCCGCAGAGAATGGGCAATACGATCCTGAATATCCTGGACACTCATCACCCCTCCACGGGATTGATGGATCCCACAAATGCGATCTAGCGCCATCAAAAGGTAACGTAGACACTTAGATTCATCACGATGGTTATAAGTCTCCAACGTTATCCTCTGGATGCGCCAACGGTGGCCGGTAGACTGACTCTCTGCATCCGTTGATGCCTGTGACAAAGAGGCCACAGGTGACACGATACCTTTACCAACTAATTTAGAAAGTTTCGATAATGCAGCTGATACCAGATAAGTTTTGCCGGATCCGGGAGCGCCGACTATTAATAAAATTGCATTCTCCAAATTCGACAACGATGATTGTAACCTAGAGGTCACAGAGGACACCTTACGGCGCATCCAATGGTCATCATCCGGACTGTCGTGCAGGAAATATTCACGACAGCTCGCTAATCTATACAATCGACGAGATAGACGACGACGAAACGATCTAGAGACCATATTATCTACCATGGTAACGACGCTACACACATTAATATAACCTATAATCAGGAATCCACAACAACTTTAGGAGTCATAACTGGTATGGATACATATATTTAGTAAAATAGTGATATATAAAAATTAGGCAAATATGTTGGGGATACCCTCAGTGATGGTACCACTAGCCTTCCTATCCCAGTATTCACCCGTAAAGCTCCACCGAGGAGCTTTAGTCACAGGATCCAAATGCTTAGTGAACCATCTGGGACGATATGACGATTCGCCATCTATACGTTTCTTAGCAGCTTCACGTTGTAGTTCCTCCAAACGGTGCTTCTCCTTAACCGCAAGGTCCATGTCACCAGACTCGTAAGCACGAAGGTCTGGACGGAATCTAGAATCCGTAGGAGGTATACAAGCACCCTTTTTAGGGTCATAGTCAGCAGATAGCTCGTTCAACTCCATCGCAAGGTAACCGAAACCATAATAATGCTCATGATGAGGTGGACGGGAGTTAGGACGCCACATCTCACGACGACTACCTGGAACTATGTCAAGTTTCTCCCAGTCTATCTCGTTCACAAAAGCGTCCCAGGCGTCACTCTCGGTCTTGTAAAATGATTTGTCATAGTCCAAACGACCATCAGGAAAGAGTAACCTCGTCTGACAATGACGACGAGATGCACGAACACGCTCCATATAAACAACCTCACTCCATTTACCAGTTATGTGGTAATGCGGCGTACCGAAACGATCATATACAAGCGCACGTACCTTGTGGATATCCCTATCAAACCAGCCTTTACGCAGGTACTGAACAACTGCAAACTCGCCACCGGTCACGTTACGGATGATCGCGGTACCCACAGTCTCGATCCATATCTTACCTATGATAATATTGTGAACAACTATATAGCAACGTTGAAGGGTGTAGTTCTCCTTCACACCGTTAAGCAACAGGTTAACTATAAAAGGACCGATAATGCTCACCTCTACAGATTTACCGGTCAGCTTCACCATAGCATTGGTACTCCCATACGCCTCGAAGTGCTGGTTATGGCAATGGAAGGCACAAATCGGGGGATGGTGGCCAACCTGTTCTGCCATAAAATTGAACCCACGATGTGTCAATTCGAAAGTCTCACCAAGCATAGGGTTAAATGGCTTGTAAGTACGGCCAACAGCTGACGCATACGGTGTTATACTAAACAACGTGACGTAGGCCATACGGTCAATAGAATCCGATTGTTTAGCTGCGGTGTCCAATAAATGGCTGTACTCAAACACCTCACAGTCACGTTGTAAAGCGGTAGTAGGCTCGTTTAGACATATCGGCATACTTATACGAGCAAGATCCTTACCGATCAGATCTTTCAATATAGACCATATGCTAACCTTTAATTCGTTACGTGGACGTGGTAAACGGACACGCCGATGGATCTTTACATCAGCCCTCTCACTACGACTACTGGATGGCCGTGGAGTACTATTATCTGTAACGCTACTTTCACAACCAGGCTTGGGTAGCGAGAGATTCTGTAACGACACCATATCCTCGATGGCCTCACGGTTAGATAGACCTTCTAACTCCAGTGAATTGCTTCGGGTACGCTGGGCTATATCCTCACATTCAAAAAATTCGTCATCTATATGACCACAATAAGCACTATCGGAACTCTCGCTATCGTTCTCAGTCAACAAGTGGCTCTTTTCGCTCACGTGCATCTGTAGCTCAGCCAAACGGGCCTTATTATCAGAGTCAAGCGACGATCGACGTTGTTCCTGACGCTCCAACTTCATGTTACGACGAGTCACACGGAACAGAGACTGCTCCAGGTCCTTGCGAGACCTCACCTCCTCAAGATACAGCTGCTGAACACTAGAGTAATATTCACGGGCAACCAGGCTCAAGGTCTCTATCTTCTTCAAAGAATCACCGGTCAACGCTTCCCGCAACTCGGCGATGATCTTGGTAGTAATTTGATCAAAGCAGCTCGTATTTGTAAGGATACAGTTCAATGGAGTCTGTGGTTCTTGCCCAAAGGAGGTTTTAATAAATAATTCCGAAACGTCAACTGATTTCTCAGTACCCTCTTCTGGAGGATCCTCTACATAAGGTACGACCAATTTAAAGTTCTCGGGGTCCTTCTCAGCTGGTGACGTTTCCTCTTTTCCATAAGGGCCTGGTAAACCCTCTACACTGTATACACCTGAAGGTGTAAGCACCTTTTTTTGATATGCTTGTAATAGTATCTTCTGAGCCTTCTTAAATGCTACGTACCATTTTTGCTTCTCAGCAGGTGAATCTGTGCGCAGGCAAACGACTCCGCGACCCAAAACATCTATATCTAGTCTCACGGGATCATCTAACAACTATATACGACCTTGAAAGTGACACTTACCAGAACAGAGACGCATAGTACATTGAGATAATATAAATGACTCCTTTATTAACCCGTCCTTCTCAACGGAATATTTCAGGCACCCATGGTCCAGCATAAAATATCTGCACACTGTGATACTAAAACTAAGTTATAACACACCTCCGTCGCCAACTACCTATAAAATTTGTCCACTTATTCAGCCAACCCTCATGGAGGTACCGTTTCTTATTACGTGAGGACATTGTGGCTGCCGAAAATACCGTGAACGGCGAACCGATCTGACGCGTAGCTTGTATATTAAGCAAACGCCGCGCAAATACAATCTACACTATAAACACATATGTTTTACAGATTAAATCATTTGATTACTCATAGATGGACTACCATGGGGAGCCGGATTACAACTGCCATGCAAAGCAGAAACTCCACCTGACACTTGATGGAGACGCATAATGTTATATTCAGTACAATTTTTTTATAACATTCATGCTACCGTCTCCAAGGCTCAGTGTGTGTAAATAACCAATATTCAAGGACTCCACACACTATCTACCACGACCACATACATGGTTCAACTCTGCACGGCTCTCTAACACGGAGCCATTATTACAGGACTTCCGCTGCTGACGTGTAGGCACGGGCTCCGATATACGGTCACCTGACTGACGATGTCTTAACTCTAAACGCTCCTTCCAACCACGACCACTGTCACCTATTGTCACACGCGATGTTGTTGATGGCACCGTTTTAGACCGTTTCACAAGACCACCTTTAGCTAGAATATCAGATGTTATGGAACTCTGGGATGCCTCTTTGTTTTTATGCCGTTTCTCTCGGAGTTTCGACCGATCGACGATATACTCCAACCAGCTATCAGAACCCTAACAAATAACTAGGGAATATATGTATTACGACTTACCGCAGCACCACCATTTTCCTTTGAAGATACAATTTTACCATTATCTTCAATTGATCTATCTGAATTGTCTCTACCCTCTTCGTCCCTCGATATCATTCTTGTAGCCAATATTGCTTGCTGCAACACTGGAGGTTCCGGCCTCGCCGGTAGCATTTGACGCTTACTCGACATCACAACCTTGTACCAAACTCAATGTAATCGGGTGTAAACCAATATTTACGTAACGGAGGTTCATTAATCCTTGCTTCTGGTGAACCCGATACGGTTTCATCAGTATCAATATCGAAGCAAAAGTAGGTAATCCCGGCAACTATACGCTTACCCTGTTGCGGTATTTGACCGTGTAGCATACAAGAAGGGTTTGGACCTTCAAGACCTTCTAATCGCAATGTTTTTATATTGCTATGGGCAACACTGAATGTAGTACCACGTTCATCAACAGATTCTGGGCGGAAAACCGCCTCATCAAATAGCGATGTACCTTGAAATTCTGGAAATCCAAGTAATAATAAAGATTCCTCAACTACATGTGGCTCCTGAGATGCAGTGCTGTCGGACAAACTGCCCTCGATGGATGATGATAGTTCCAGATCATTCATAGCATCTCGTAGACAATAGTGATAGCAACCCAGGGTGACACCACGCCAACGTAAATACTAACAAATATAGAGATATCGCTCTATTATCCACTTGATAAAACCAACGAGGTATATGTTATATACCTAAGAAATTGGTTAAAAAACAAAAAACTACTATAGCATCTCTAGTATCATACTGAATATGCGTATTTCGAAAAAGCAAATTATATCAATTATGTTTTTGACAGATATGCGTTGTTAGGGGAAGGTATGGGTACAATGGTCAAACAACAGCGGTTTACGTTAATGTGTGTGGCGAAAAATACACTGTACCGAGGCAGACCAAGCGTAGTAAATGATACAGTGGTTCAACGCAGTGATACACTATGGTGTAACTGTTGAGGGCGATAATGGGTCACATAGAGCGCTACTCTCTGTATAGAAGTGGCAGTGGTATATCTTAATTGGGGAATCCATAGATAATTGGACAGTTCGCATTACAAGACATATACCATTGAGAGCCAATATATTGACATATTAACTAATTTTATAACCTACACATTGACACTAACCAATACACTGAATATAGGATCTTGGAGTGATCTGCCCATAGCAGCACCAGAAGGACAAGCTATGAAAATGCCACACGTAGCATCCGTGTACCAACTGGTTAAAAAACAAACATGGTGATATTTAAACCTCCATAGCCTATGATTTGCGCCTATTGGGGCTAACCTATATACGCGCAATCGGTAGAGCAATGAGGATAGACGTACTGGAAGGTCTCTATATAATTGCATTGTTTGCATAAGAAGACGTGACTAACGTCGATTTGATTTTTTAAATTTTAATTAAACCAACCTGGAGACTATACTATAGTTAGACAACACAATAAATACATTTCATTTTTAACACATCTATATTTTGGAACATATACTAGGGATAGGAATTCATATAACTAACAACAAGATATCGGGACTATTATAAACGGTAGAAACTACCAGAAAAAAGCGCACGACTGCACGCTTCGCAGGATTTACACGTCGGGTTTTAACAGCAAGAACGACGCGGTGCGGAAGGAATTACAACAACACGACCTTATTTCAAGAATCCAAATCAAGCTGTTGTGTCCTTCAACTTATAATACAGACCGCAGACAACAGAAGACCGTCGTCCATACAACATTTTTAAGGACACGCGTCTAAAGGATACACAGCGAAAATAGATCACTCCCATCGCCAATATTCAAAGGACAAACTCTCCAATTCGACACAATAGGCAGAGGAGTAACTATCAATAATATACCATAAGTCAGACTCACAGACCAAGACCGTAACGGGGCACATCCTCTCAAGGAGAATGCAGCAAGTCGCCTTCCAACACGAATAGCAGCTGAAATGTAATAAACGACGAATGTATACTTTTAAAACAGGTGTGTTCATGCGTAAAAATATATAGTATAAACTGAATTCACAGGTTTCGAACACAGCACTAGTTACACTACCCTAATTACTGAAGCTCTATTTATACGGTCGGTTTAGCATTTTTAAAGATAGTATCCGTAAGCGGCAAACGGATACTACACATTTGTCACATTTAGAAGGCATAGGAAACAACTATGCCAAACAAAAGAAAAAAGTGCGCAGTAGACAAGACAGCTAATATAGCTACAACATCAAAGAAAGACAATCAAGATTTTATAAATCGAAATTTTAAAAAAGGGGAAAACAATAATACCTGCAATCATATTTTTAAAAGGTGCCATCGTAACTGGAGTAGTGGTCAAGACGTTTGGGGGATCGCTGAATATACAAATTTGAAAGATAAAAAAGGAATAATTGATGCAGTATGTGACAGGATAACCTTGATTGCGCCAACTAATAAAATTGCATATTGTAATCAATTGCCAAATACTATACAAATGGATAATAACAGTTACTGGGATACCGGAAATCAACCGGATGTAGATCAAGATTCGACGAAACGACATGCTAATTCCCAAAAGCCTAAAATTAAGGCACCAAAAATAGATGCAGCACACCCTGGGGGTGAAAATATATCGTTATTGGAATTACCACCAAATGCTATCGACCATCTACACAATGTTACAACAAGCACTACCGCCGCAACACACAGTACTATGGTTAGTAGCAACTCCCCAAACAAAACACCATGTACGAATACTAACCGAGTTAACAAAAATAAACATCATGATGACAAGTCCTGTTGGAATGTACCTAACCCACTTACAAGAGCATATTCATGCGAAAAACATAAATATGCACCAAATTTTGTATCAACATGCAGCATGGAAGGCACACAAAAACCTGAATATAACTCATTGTGTACTAAATGTATGCCAGAAGAAGATAAAATTACAAGAGGGTTTAAAGGACTATTAATACAAACACCAATTTTTAAATATGTATCGGAACCAAAACAGGGGAATAAAGATGCAACACCAACCTTCGATAGGTCCTTCCTAATACAAGAAACAGCACTGATCAATGGAAAAAGTATCACTGATGTATATGATCTACATAGTAACAGGCTAGGAAAAGGAAGCTATGGACAGGTACTCAAGGCGTGCCATAAAGAAACGGGAGAAGTTAAAGCAGTCAAGGTCATCAGAAAAGCTTGTATAGAAAACGCCATGAGAATGAAAAGAGAAATCACTATCATGAAAACATTGGACCACCCGAATATAGTTAAACTGCTAGAAATTTACGAAGATGAAGAGTGCCTGTACCTAGTTATGGAAATGTGTGGAGGAGGTGAATTATTTGAAGAAATTGTTAGGCGAGGCTGCTTCAGTGAACAGTACGCCGCAACAATGATGAGACAAATATTCTCGGCAATTGCATATTGCCATGGAAAAGGGATCATACACCGCGATCTCAAACCGGAAAACATACTATATGCTAATACTAGCGATTCTTCGCCAATCAAAGTTATAGATTGGGGATTCGCGACTAAATGCAGTAAGACACATAAATTCACAAGCCTTGTAGGGACGCCGTACTACGTAGCGCCAGAAGTACTTATCGGAAATTATGACAAGAGCTGTGATATATGGAGCGCAGGCGTTATCATGTTCATCATGCTGGTGGGATATCCTCCGTTCCACGGAAACGATAACGCAGCCATTCTAAACAATGTCAAAAGGGGCGCCGTCAACTTTGTGCCGCACCACTGGAAAAATATATCAAAAAGCGCCATAGATCTCATCACAAGGTGCCTGTCTTATGACCCCAGGTACAGGATAACAGCGAAAGCAGCTTTTAACCATGAATGGATACTCGCAAACGCTACCAGCGTACATGTTAACCCTATGGTCAGGCAATCGTTGACGAAGGACCTCGTAAAAAGGTTCCAAAAGTTCGATAACTACAGTACCATGAAACAACTGGCGCTCACCTGTATAGCACACCACCTCTCGGACGGGGATATAGGGTCACTCAGCACGGCGTTCAATGTGCTGAACAACGCTGGTGACGGCGTGTTGTACATAAAGGATATCGTAAAGGGGTTACAAAGTGACAAGTTTAAAGGACACTATGACCCCGCTATGCAAAGGTTAGTGGAAAAACTGGACACCAACGGAAGCGGCGCTATCGACTACGTGGAGTTCCTCGCAGCCTCGATTGACGAGAAGGTCTACATGCAGAAGGATTTCTGCAAAAAGGCCTTCAAGGTGTTCGATCTCGATGATCAGGGGGTAATCACGCGGGAGAACATGTGCAAGGTGTTCCAGTGTAACATGGGCGGATGTGAGTTCACCGACGAATTCGTTGAACAGATATTCAACGAGGTCGACCTAGATCGCGACGGGGTTATCAACTATACAGACTTTTGTACCATGCTATACGGGCTGTCGCACCCAGAAGAGGCAGCGACGCTATAGAAATGGCAGCAACACAAGTATAAATGTACATAGTATATCTACACTGACGTTAAAATAGTTTAAGCAAAAAATACAACCTAAGCATCCTCACGCGGCTCCGTACCGTCAGCCTCTCGAAGGCTCTGTAACAAATCTATAGCCGCAAATATGTCACCATCAGATGCTTCAAGCACTGTCAGACACAGCTCTCGGTCCTCGATACCCATTTCAAGCATCTGCTCCAACTCCTTAGCATACTTTACCTCACTAGTAGCAGACGACAGGTCAGCCGCCTCAGCCGGTATAGGCTCCGTTGATGAAGACGCCGTTACAGTAGGGTGACTCTCTTCGGTGGACGAACTTTCAGGTGTAACACTTTGGGGGTCGTTGGAAGTACCGACTGCAGAGCTAGCTGATCTTGATGAATTTGAAGGGTTACGCATAAGGCCTGCAAGATATGGCTGCAAGGCGCTCATCAGGTTGAGGTTGCCAGGAGAATTGTTCCCTGAAGAATTTTGGCTTGAAGATGCAGGTATTGCTGACAGCAAATTGCCGAGACCGCTCATTGGGGCAGATAAAATGCCGTCATTTAATCCGAAATTAGGCGAAGGTGAGAACATGGACGGAGGTGTAGCCCATGGATTAGGAAATGTTTCAACCGTCAACTTTTGGGTGGGTTTTGGTGTCACAGCTTTCTCGTAGTTCTTAGATACTGAGCCACGGCGATTCTCGTCCATCATAGCGTGCCATAAAGGCTGCTGTATATTGCGATGCATCTGACAAAGTGCACGAAAACCTCCAGGCAATGCCTCGATGTTACGCCAAGCGGTATCAGCCTGACGAGCAAGCTCTTTAGCCATCTCAGGGTTAGTAGCAGCACGCATCACCTGGCTCATCAATTCTGAATCTGACGTTAATTCACGAAGCATACGGTTAGTCTCATTCATACGCATACGCTCATCAGCATCCTCCTCACTAGGAGGAGCAGATTGATTTGCCTCCATAGACTCCACAAGCTGATCCACGTCAATATTAGCAGTATCAGTAACAAGGCGGCGAGTAAAATGGGATATCACCGAACCAGCGGTACGCTCATAATCGTGCCTACTCCCCGATGCCTTGGACCTAGTCATGGGACCGGAAGTATTCGAACCCTGAGGCAAAGAGTCAGTTGAAACTGATGATTCTTCAGCCGATACTGATGTAGTTATTTCTGCCGCTTTGGGCCCATTTTCATCCAATGGAACAACTTCAGGTGAAAGGGAATCGCCTAAGGAATCGACTTGTATCTCGTCACAATCCTTGTTACTATTAACTAACACATTCTCGATAACATCCACACTCTTACAACTCCGTTTAGTAGACGATTTATCAACCTGCTCATCGATGGTATTCTTACCAGCGTTGCTTTTGCCGCCACCGTGGCCCTTGGCCAACTCGTCTTGAGATTGGTCAGCCATCACGTAGTGTAACAATGCCAAAAATCACCCAAATGGATGCCAGAGGCAAAAAAAGCCTCGATATTACTGAAGTTGGAACACTAAACAGTACATAGACATCGCCACGCGCCCTCAGGTGGCAACGCCACCTACGTACAAATGATTTAGCTCGGTCACGAAAATATGACGCAACAATATTACACTGTGATAGTAGCCGATAATTTTTATATAGTCTAGTTACAGAGTAACACGCTAAGGGCAGCTACACCTCAGGTGTACACATAATAACCAGACTCACACCACACCGTATCGACACACACTACGGTGGAGGATGACACCAAATATATGGAAAAGTAAACGGGATATAGATGGGTGTAACTATACAACTCTATACCGACACTATCGATGACCCTAACCCCACGAGTGACTACCTTAAAGTCACTAGCCAACTTCCGGACCAGCATATAAACTACCATCTGACAAGGTGTATCCTGGGGTATCAAAGTGGTAGTTCGAGGTCATTTGTAGCGCTAGGGTGGCCGTAACGTACCCCTTGTGCTCTCTAGACACAACGTTGACCTGACCTAACTAAACAACGATACACTACCAAAAATACAATAAAGCTCACTATATTTCAAAATATGATACACATTTAAATTAACTTTAGTTGTGGTGATTCATGATAAGGTTCCGGTAATGTGTCGAGAAATGACATGATCTTTTCAGTTCAATCCAATATACTATACAACGTCAACGTCTTTCTTACACAATTTCCAAATATATATGCTAGTTGTCCAATGATTCAGTTTATTCTCAATGTTTCGCATCATTAGGCGATGTCAGTAGTTCAAATAATGACACTTTTAATATTACGGTGGCCGCGTTTTCATCGTTGGAACCTTCTTAACACAAGATTCCATTAGAAACGGCCAGCCAACAGTGACAGAGGGCCCAGTGTCTGGATTGTATCGTCCAGAGTTTGCTAATTATAAAGTCAAATGCCATAGTAAACAAACTAACCTGGTAAACTGCCCGGTTCCTTGCAGGGATACCCTCGTAAGGGATATTATGAACACATTCATACAAAATCAAACCATGAGCACTTGCCATCTTGTAACTACAGAAAATATGTAGTTGAAATATTATTAAGAAAAACTCACTTGAATTTAGACAAATTAGGATTCTCCAATAAACACAAAATTTTTACAGGCGCAACACAACCCTTACCAACCTCAAATAACATGCCTATCATACATCGAACCTACAAAAATAACAAAAAGATAACATGATATTACCTGATGCCATAAAAATGCACGCCCCGTTACCGTAGCAACACAAAGCAGGTCGTTATAACGATCTACTTCAAACGACATAATAGTCGCATGAGTATCTATAGGATTGCGATTGTCGACCTTGCAAAACTGCTTAAAGTCATGCGTACCCAACTATACATCAATGTTTAAAAGGGACCAGACAACTTACAAAATATTTACAACCCTCCTTCATCAAACCAAGGTCCATGCAACCAAGTTGAAAAAAGTACTTATAAGTACGCATTAAACAGTCCCTACTAATTAAAAGTTAGACTAAATATTATACAACATACATACCGAGCACTGAAATCGTCAGATACCCTTGTCACACTATTGATACGGATACTTGATGGTAAATGCTTGTTCACGCATTTCACAAAACTATTCATGCGATAACATGTCCCTCGATCACAATATGATGATGGAACACTGGAACATGGGCCATCTGGTGAACTGAACGAAGCTAGTAATTCCAAAAAAATCACATACCATGGATCCGTGAAAAATGAACAGTAGTTGTGAAGAGCATGAACATCTCGATCTGTACGACCACAACGCTCATAACCACTGTCAAATTCTGACCACTTTCACATTATTATACCCACTTGCTCTGAACATCACGTGCTATATTAGCAACTGATAAAGCTCGAAACAGATGACCTTCCACTGTATTGGGCTCGTCAACCTGATATGCCAGACCCTATATACATCATAAACGACAACACTCAATACTTACATGGAAGCCGGTACCAAGGTACGAAAAGTCAACTAATACCTTTCCACCGCAAGGACCTTTAGAACCAGAAGAGTCACACATTATAGAGACAAACAATATCCCATTTTAATAAGACACCTTACAAACAAAATTGTAGCTAATAATCGTAAGACAACTATACCGATAAAGAATTGTGTAATACAAATAACCACAAGAAAATATCCATGGAGATACACAAAAACCACTAACACCCATATGCAGAAATATATATGACCTAACCAATTACTCAAACAACATTAAACAAAGTTAAAGCAAGAGGAAATATATATTATGACGGAAGCCACGTGAGAATAAGATTCCGTGCGAAATAGTATCAGATCACAGAATGATGGCACTACAGCTAACGTAAACGAAACATAAAGTGTACACCATCCATTAGATTATATAATGTGTCATTGATTATTTACTGTAACCCCCGCAATATGACAGACACATTCCAAACTACAGAACATAACAAATGTTTAAATATGATATATAAGACATTAATTTAATCGATTTGTTCTTTCACAACGGATACCAGATATAACCTGACCTTGCCCTAGATGTGTAGCACTCTCGTCACCAATACAGACATTCCACATATTCTGACCAATTGGAATTAGAAAATATATTAATAGATGCTATATGGGCACTAATATACTACAAATATAGCATCGCTTTCGTTATGCAGATTAACATCTGAACATGAATACCTTACACAATCGAAAAATACGGTTTCCAAAGACAATGAAGGGAAATCATTTACATAAGGATGATAGGATTTATATTTTTAAAGACAAATACAGATGAGTTACTCATGCAAATACACGGAACGGGAGCAGTACCGTGGCGGAATTACTCCATACCTTAGCTGCCTCGTATTCTTCACCACTGGAATCAATCTGACACTGATATTCGCCATAGGATATATAGGTGCCATCACACTCTCCGAAGGATTTGGAGTTAACATTGAATTAGCCAGATACTGCTACCAAACTAGACAACTTATCACTGTATATGCATTATTAGGAGCAATAGTCGCATTACTTTTAGGTTTAGGGGGAAGAACATCATGTCTCGTACACCAATGGATGCTCACACTGTGTTATTATGCCACTGCGGCTTATCTACAAAGCAACAAGTTAGACATTCACATCAAGCTACCAGTTTTGATGAGATTTGCCGCTATAACAGCATTTATATCAAGCATCGCTCAGACCGCAGCGATATATTGCATGGCAGATAACTCAATGCCAGGGGGGGCGTATTACGGACTTACACGCATAACTGCATACTTTGCCGGGGCAACTTTGGCGGCACCAACCGTGGCGTCGTGGATAATAGTACAAGGGTATTTCGGTATTGAAACAAACGCATTCCAAAAATTATATTACCAAAATAAAGCATGCTCAACACTTATAGTCATATGCTGCTTCGCGGGCACCCTGTCTGCCGTAGCAGCTGCACTCATGACCTATCTATTCTTCTCTGTTGAACGCAACACAGCTATGGAAGAAACATGCTGGTTTCCACTAATAAGGAAATCTACATGCCATATTAATAAAACAACGATAAAAAGACAAATGACATCTATTTACATGCCACTGCTATGGACAGTCAACCCATTATTCATAGCATTCGCTATTGGTGTAACGCTGAACTCAACAAACTCATTTAGATTGATTGTTGTTCAAAGCTTAATATACGCCATATGCGCTATTTTCTCGGTATACGCCGCGTACCTATCATACGGATCGGCACTATGCGTTATTAGGCAATATGGTAAACCAGAAGTGATGAAGACAGTGATGCAAAATACAATTGAAAGACGAGGAGAAGTATCTGGAAATACACAAAACCGGTCATCTTCATATTCTCCTACAGCAACTCAAACATTTCCATACATCAGTCGCAATACACAATGGAGCCTTCTAAAGGGTGAGATGTGGGCAAAATGGCAAAACTTTGATGCGACGTACCTACTATGCTACGAACCACTCATGAATTTGTACACAATAAATGCTGACTTGATATGCCTGGAAATTGGAGAGTTTTATGACAATGTGGAACCCGCTATGAAACAATATTTAACGAAGATAGAATGTACAGGGTTGTTACACGATCTCCCATTCGCCATAGATTGCTCTTGGACACCCATGCAAATGCTACACCAGATGATCCTGCATCAAAAAATGGTAGTCATGTTACAATTAGAGAGGACAGGACAAATGTTCAACAAAATATTCAAAGGAAGAGTTAGTAGGGTTTCGTGCAGTGTATTAGAAAGAATCCCAAAACTAAGTCTATGTTGTACTTCAATACTCGATGAAGTTGATCCCAAGACACCCAATAATAGCATTTCCACTGCAAAGGATTCAAACAACAAGAACTTGAAATGCCAAAACGAATTATGGTTTGCGAAAGAAGTCCCTAACTGTAAATGCTGCTCTCCAAAAGAACAAAAGGATATAGAATATTTTTTAAAGGGTTCCATAGATTCTACAACGAGATACTGCGAAACATTGATAGGAAATCTAAAACAAGAAGAGGGGCTACAGGATACATCAAGTGTCCCAGTGTATCGTGATCTTGATATTGAGCAGAAATTGGCATGTGTCGTTCGTAGCTACTGCGAAGCTAATTTACGTATACTTAAAGCCATACTAATGATCGAAGAGTTTTTGCTATTACAGGAATGGTTATGCAAATTGAGTTGGAAATTATATGATGCAAACAATACATTGAAAAAACTTGGGATATGTAATTGTAATGATAAGTCAAAAACATTAAAAAATGACCATACTCATAATTGTCCATGGAATTGCCTTCAACAACTACTTCCCACGATTGTTCAGCTGCTTATGAAACTTCACCTACAAAAGACTAAACTGCTAATAAGAATAAAAAAGGTGTCCATATGTTGTGTGAAGCATACGAGAGAGGAATTGCTGAACAAAAATGAATTGGAGACAACCGGGATACTAGATGTAATCAGAATACTCATCATTGTCACACTTGCCATAGGAGATTTAATTAAGTTGAAGGAATCTTTGGAACAAAAAAAGTGTAATTGTGCTTATTCCAATCAGGATACAAAACATTGTTTTTGCATTGCTAGGTGCCACTTAATATTAAGCGCCACTCAATATATGGAAAATGTGTTAAAACAAATTTTGTCTCCCAGTGTCTCAAGGATTGAATCATTGGTTGACAGTGTTCTTGTATGGTACGCAGGGCTATGCGACAACCTGTCGCAATTATGTAGCGAAATTGATTGGCATGAGCAGTCTAGCTATGCGCCCCTCATTCATATGGACAAGGATATCGGAATAGATTACCCTAAAGATAACACAATATATGTGGGTTCTGTCATCGGAAAACCCTTGTATTCCATTTCTATGCTTCATAGCCTGCTCGCTTTTGGAACCCTGAAAATAAGATCACAAAAATATTCCTCGCAATATAAGCAAACAAAACCGAACGTAGAGTGCAATGAAACTACTAATATACAATCATCATTGTCGAATTGTTTTAATTGTTGCAATGCTGGAACTTCGATTGCTCAAAATGCCCAAACATGTAGCGTGGGAAATATTGAAAAAATCTTCTGTAACCTAGCAGAAAACATAAAAGGCGCCATAGAATGTGCAGAACAAATTAAATGCTGTGGTAGTAAAATCTGTGATATAAATAAATGTTTGGAGTTTTGCAATTCTAACATTTCATTTCCCAATGTTTCAGAGGAGGCACCATGTAAGGGCGATTGTTGCAAGGATGAATCAGAGGTGTCGCGTTACTGCAGGCTGATTTTATCCTTGAGCGCTTGTGTTAAAGCTTTGCAATGTGCTACGGCAACTGAACCGGTGAAAACCTGTTGCTGTTCTAATTACGCTAATTCCTCTGAGCAATGCAGTTTAGAGTGTGTCATTGCGCGAATTTTAAGATATTGTTTCGGCTGTTCCACTTGTTGTGTCGTCGTGCCAGACACGAAACTCTGTTGTGTTGAATTATATGTTTTATGTCACGTATATTGCTCATTAAACGGTGGTACAACGTTTGAAAGGTGTCAAGACTGTGAAGCATGCACACCTGATACAACTACGGAGTGTAATTGCATCCCAAACAATGGCGCCCAGTGTCAACTGTGTAACGAAGCCGAATCTTGTTGCGCAAATTTTAAAGACGTATGTTGTTGCTATCAATGTTGGATGATGTGGGTCAGGTGTTATGTAATGTGCGGGGAATGCTGCTCTTTTAAATGCGATACTATTCCACCATGTTGCGAAAACTCGTGTTATTTAACATGGCTGACAAATTCTATTTTTCATTGCACAACGTGCGCATCCTCGACAGATGGACAAACGGGAGAGGAATCAACAAACTGCTGCGGCACAAATTCACAAAGCTCGCAGTGCTGCACAATGATATCTGGTAGTGAAACTGCAATATCTAAAAAGTGTTGTAATAATCAATTGGGATGTACATTGCGTATAGTGACCAAGGATTTGAAGGCACTTAAGGTAAACACATGCACCTTCACAAAAAACATCAAAAATATGCTTTGTTGTTCGGAGAAAATCAAGACCAATATTTGTATACTGGATCGATATCTAAAGGAAGTAGCATCTTTTTTGTGCTATATTCGTTGTGATCTGGAAGAGAGAATTAAACGCCTCGAGGCGCTATGCACTGTCGCCCAAAGACTGGATTATTGTTTTCCGTGCTATGCGGAAACTATTGGGGAAATCGCTAAAAGAGATGAAAGCATGATACAATATATACCTTCTTTGGTGAAGCAATGTCTAGATCTCGCATACAAAGAATTTATGCTTAGTAGTAGTTTTATTTGGACATTTGCCACCGTATGTATACAATATTGTAGTCTGAGACACCTTAACAAAAGGATGACTATTTTATATGGGAGTATAAAAAAAAATTGGATGACATTTCTCAGTTTTGGTGGCCGCCATAATCCAATGTCTGGAGAATATTCTACGATGTTTGTTGACGGCATCCCTTTGGCCGAACGCAACCATCTTATTGGAATATATGGCAAGCGTACTAGGCGAAAAGACATGAAACATAACATCAATGTACATATGGATGACGTACTAAACGAGAGTTCGATATTAGGTTGTTTCAAGTACGTTTGGATTTTACTATGTTTATTAGCCGTTATAAAGTTTTTTTATTGGTTCGGCCTGGTGAACAGTGTCCGTCAATCAATGCCGTTACTCACCTTTATCACGATGCTCGGTGCTCTGCATTTGTCAGCTGCCGTAAGGGGCAGTGCACATTATTCATCGGCGTACACTTCATCTGGAGGGAAAACGGCAACTCGTATAAATATGGTTATGCTAATAGGTTTGATTGCTATGCTAGTCATATTGTGGATATCCAATATTATATCGACGTATGGGCAAATATCGATGTCTGTCGCGTTTGTAGCTGAACGGATGCGCCTACTGGGTTACTATGATACTGTTAAACCTCCGGCCAAACATTTACTCATACGCACGATTGCCTGGACGACAGCATTAGACCTGGAGCGCTTTTTTGGCATGTGGAGACCTAGACACACGGATAGAAATGGCAGCGAGGCATATATTCCCTATTTAGGTGGATCATTGGCTGATTCAACGGCATCATCGAACCCGCGTATGAAGAGAGGTGCAATGCGTAAACCACTTACACTCCCTAAGTTCTTGGAAACCCAGATGGTTAGGACCGACAAAACGATTCATTCTATCCTTGACCTAATATCATTCTTGGGGTTGTATCCAAGTGGCGTTAATATTCTCAATCAAGCTACGAAATTTGATAGAAATAGTAGCGTGGATATCCAAGCTCTTTGGAGTGCGTGGGAAATGGAAAGGCGCATTACCAATGAGTCGTTTCGATTAGAGGCGATTCATGAAGACGCACTTAGAGGCCTCAATATAAGGGTCATGGGTGTTGTGGGTAAAGTCAAAAGCAAACGGCATGTGCCCAAATTGATCATGTTATGGAATGCATTCTTCGAAGTACAGCGAAGGTCTATACCTCAAAGAGTCATGAGAATCAAACAATGGCCATATGTGGTCACCAAAAGTCAAAATGTTTTGGAAAAGGAACAAGCGGCACACCAATATATTAGAGAATGGGAACGATTTTGTCGGTGGTTAGCACGCTGTACCAAATATTTTAAGAAGGTTCAAAAGATGAACAACATATTGAATGAATCCGTTCAAGGCAAATCCGATCTAGTCACCAAACTATATAACATATTGACGAAGAAGTTGAAGGGCAAAGTGCCCCGGTTTCCAGACGAAATAGATGATTCTACACTGCCGGAAGAAACTGAGATGCCAACGCCTAAAGTAGAGACTTCAGAAACGCCGGAAGCAGCATTAAGGCAGGAATATGAACGGCGTGCAGAGATTGAAGCTCAAAATAGCAGGTTGAGGAGAACTACTCATCTCGAGGGCTTTGCACCTTACGAAGTACTCAGCGAATACTTCGACATCAAAAAGATTCTGTCTGACGACGAATTCGCGTATTTGGACGACGTTATCGATGAAGAAGAGATAAACTATACGACGCCACGTAAAGTATCGAGTGTACCCAGCGTTGCTGAAGTGGATTCAGATATACCAGAATCTGACAATAACGAAGAGGCGGAAGAACTGCCGGTGGAAGAACCAGAAGAGGTAACACCAGTCGACGATACCACTGTCAAGGAAGATGTCCATGACACTGACACAGCCGATCCTCTCGACTGGTTATTGGATAACGATCCCTGTAAGGAGTGTTTGCAGTTTTACAAGAATTCAACGGGGATAAATGCTGATATGGAAGTTCCAAGCTATATCACTCTAAAATCTGGATACAGCTACGAAATGGTACCTTGTATGGATATGCTCTTGGCAAACGGACTCAGTTGGAAAATGAAAAAAGAACAGTATTGTGGAACCTTGAATGAACATGAAAATATCTGCATGGAGGCAGTTCAACAGGCTTATACGAAGCTTGTAACTTTCTCAGAGGAACAACATGTAGTAGGTAATCTGGTCAAAATGTTCTACGGTAAATGCTTTCCGTCCATTTTAAATGATGGTGTGGCAAGAGAAAATTCCGCCTTGGATTTTGTAATAGGAGAGTTGGCACATATAATCATTATTCATTCAGCTGTGCAGAAACCGTCAATTGAACCAGATAGTCCCAATGTACGTAGTGCTGCATACAAACGGCATCATGGGAAAACAAGTCTCATGCCGGCAGAAGAAACTAACTGCAAGTGGCAATACACAATCAAAGGATTAGGCCAATGGTCTGTCTTTAATGGTATGCCAGTGTCACAGAGTGCGGTGCGATCTATATTCACTTAACGCACTGTTAAATCGCTAGAAACGTCTGTGCCACATGGGCATTTATACTGTTCCATATACATTTCAAAAATTAACATAACTGTACAATCATAAACGCAACCTTAGTTATTCCACAGCAGCACACCTTCATCTGATATATCATATCTTCTACATCTGTCACCACTTATACACCGTTATGTAGGCTATAGTTTTAATGATATTATTCATTAGGTAGGTCAGCTAGATAGTTATTTAGTTTCGACATACGTTTCTCCTCTCTTTTAAGATAGGTTGATGGAGTCATATCGCTCGTATCCCACAAAAGCGCTGCGATGAAGAATTGAAAATTGATACACGCTACCCTCAGGAGCTGGGGTGGGAGGTACTCCAATATTGAGGTCTACAAGAATGTGATATCCATCACATTTCACTTACATAGAGTCCTACAAGTTTAGATACGCCGATACCAATAAGGCTGTGAACGCAGAGCACTCCCGATGTCACCAGGGTGCGTGAAGTGGAAGATTGAGCACTTGGAGCGGGCGTTTTAATAGGTTCGGTGCTTCTCTGTTTCACATTTTAAACTTTAGACGATGCAACACCTCACCTTCTCACGTTCTAGTATCACGGCACGATCACCTTTAAAAATAAAACCGGAAGCGAGCAGTCCTTGAAGCCCAAGCGAGAGGGAGGAGTATTGAGGGAAAAGCCCGAGTACCATGACAGGCAGCATAACTAATGAAGCACGTGCAAGTCTGCCTCCAAAATTGCTGAATTTATACTTCAATCATGTAGCGACAACGCTCACCTAGTTAGACGAACCCTTGAAGGCATATATATTTCTTGAAGCATCGTCCCGAAACGAGAGCTGTTCTTTTTCCAGTACTCACGGAACTTGGTTACGTCCAATTGAGGTGGCATACGGAGCGCCATGATCTGGTCTTCCTCCTCAGGAGAAGCAAACTCGCTAACGGCTAAATTGCCAAAGGCGTCCCTATAAAACTTGTAAAAAATTCCTCTACACTCACCTAGTAGGATCCCAATATTCTTCCCATGCTTGCGGACCACGCTTTATAAATGACTCCATGTGTTCGAAAGCTAGGACGAATTCCTTTCTTAGGTATTCGTGAAGTTTTCTTTCAAGGACCTTCCGCATGTCCTCCGGGAGCGTATCAACAGCATGTTCGTAAGCCATACCTATCTCGTTCAACGAAGCTCCTTCGCGTACGCCAATTGTCTCGAAAAAGCTTTGAGTTTCCTCATCTATGAAGTCAATGTAAAAGGGGGAATACATCCATACCTGTCTGCAATGGCCCCTTCTTCCTCAATAGTGTGGAAGCCAGTTTCCCCGTGGGCATTGGCGGCACAAACCACTTGCGTCCTATTGTATTTGAGAACCACCTACCTATTGTGCCAAATAGATATACGGCGGTAGTAGGCCTGCCCTCCATGTTTGTTCTGTTGAGGTGGCACGTAGATATTTTTCCAGTGACGTTGCTTGGCGCGTAAATAGACGTGCGCTGTGAAGGGTTGATTGTGAAATGCACAAATGATCTAGCTGGAAGTTGCGCGCCATTGCGATATGATGATAATCTGGGTCCCACCCGAACTGCTTCAACAACATTCCTCGGTGAATGATGCCATGAAAACCTTAGAAAACAAGACAAAAGCCATATGGAGACGATTAGCAACCCAACCGGTTTCGCGAAGATAATCTTCCATCGTTCCATGCCAAGGGAGACGCTACACATTCCTACTACAGAACACGATCCCTTACAACAGCTAGGATTACCAACATCATCCCATAGTTTCCTCATAAATCACATTAGAGGTTCGTGCTATAACTATCAGCGTAGCTTACATAGCCTAAAAACTTCAAAATGCCAGGAAGACACAGCAGCTATTTAAAGAAGAGGTTGACCTTGTCTAGTATGCTCTACAATAATTCTCTAATTAAATATAAGATAAAAAGTTGTTTACAATAACATTATTTTTACTAACTAACATCAACTGGCGTTTATATCCTTCCACAATTATGGAAGTCCAACTTCACAGGGAGGGAGAGTGGTAGTTACTTGGCATAGTACCAACTGTATCCATCGAACGTGGCGCTGCAGATTTACATAGATGTAAAGTCTATTATAGTCACTGAATTATTCTTTGTAATCATGTGTTACTTTCAGGAGGTAAGCTAGGCTCCACTCACACCTTCAACGCGACAGGGGTATAACTCTCAAAATTTTGGAGAAAATTTCAAGTTAATAATCGTGCCAATCAGGCGGCCAATGATAGTAAAAACAGTAAAGTAGGTAGCTAATATAGGAAGAATGGGCAAAATACGGACGAGACTGAAGGATGCAGTCCTGTTGCGGGAGGACGGCGAAGCGCTATATTCTACGGAGAGAAATAGAATCGTGCGTTGATTAAGATGAAGGAGGTACAATGTGCCATGCGAATGCAACAGCAGCACTGCTAGCACAGGGTGTGAAGATCATTAGAATGCCGGAATATCGGAAAACTGGAATGCCATCGTCGATGGTCTTCAAAAAGTATAATTTTACAAAACATACGTAATGGATAGATGCAGATTAGACACCGGGGCGACCACGTGAACCAGCCCACGCCGGCGGATGCAGCATTCCAACACCATAGCCAGGACGGCTTTGTTCTGAACAAGCCATTACCAACTCATCCGTGTGGAAACATATTGGTCCTTTGGCGCTTTGATAAGTAAGTATGAACGTGGAAATGTCGTTTTGCCGTTTTATATCAACGTCCCGGATCGTTTCTTATGAAAATGATGGTAGTATCGGAAGTGTTGTAGTTCTCTGGAAGATGCCAAATCGATCATGTTAAATATTATATATTACTAAAATGTTGCTTTGGCCCTTTGATTCGTGATCTAATGTGGCCATTTTCGTATGCTACGTCACCTTCGTGTCAGTTGTGACCTCCATCACAATTATTGCAGATAACGTTGAACCAATACCAAAGGAAAAATGGCAAAGCCTGAACCGAACGTTACAATCCCAGATGGCAATGCCCAAAAGGGTGCCAAACTTTTCAAGGCTAAATGCGCCCAGTGCCACACTACCAACAAGGGTAAGAATGGCACCCAGCATTGTCGCTCATAATAATGCAGGAGGTGCCACCAAACAGGGTCCCAACCTATACGGATTGTTCGGAAGGGTCGCAGGTTCAACAGATTACGCTTACTCTGATGGAAACAAATCTTCCGGTAAGTAGAAGTAAAGAGCCGGACACCGTAGCTACTATACGTCATCTCATCATGATACAGGTATCACTTGGAGTGACAAGCATCTGTTCATGTACCTCGTAAATCCAAAGGAGTACATCCCTGGTACAAAGATGGTATTCGCAGGCATGAAGAAGGAACAGGATAGAGCTGACGTTATCGCTTACCTCAAAGAGGCAACTCAAAAGTGAACATATACATATCAAAGAATATTTTGAATTAATAGGACCAATGTTATATACATGTTAAACCCCTGGAGCGCGATGGTGGTGTGTCGTTGAAAGCGCAAGTCATGGGTGTGGAGTCAATATATCTTTTTTAAAACCTTCAACTGTAAAAGATAAATATATGGCGATGATCGAACCAAAATTCGGTGAGGTGTGCTTATGTGTAAGCTTCAAGTGTTGAATCGCTAATGTCGTGTCGTACCCATCGCTATACGCGCCATTTGTGTGGAAAAAGTACACAGCCGCCATAATCAATAACTGGATCCTTTTTCCAAACCACAAGCGCAGCTCAATCCATAACGATTAGACACAATGGTTTACACTGTAGATAGACGCATATTTGCAATATACGGTGTTCTGCCACACGTTAACATCAAGGATGTCTATATCGTGGCAGGCGCAGCAGCGCTGCTGCTCACTCTGAGGTTCATAGTTGCAGGTGTCAACAATGGAAGCAAGTCGAAATGCCCCTCCCTCTTCACTTTCATCATAGACAAGCTAAATATCGCTAAAGAGGGCAAGTCGTATAAACTTGCGGAATCCCTATGGTAAAACTCCCAACCATATCATTTAATCTTCTTAGGTACCTTTGTTGGCATACCACGTCTCTAGCTTGCACGATCGCAGTGTTTTGCGATGAATATGGAACACCGGACAATCACAAATGGCTGTATCACTTCATGAATGATTTGAAGGGGATATGGTAATATAAGTGTTGTTTGTTCCAATAACAACATATGTAGGTTCTTCACGGAGTCATACGAGGATGTAGTAAGGAAAACAATCACGTGGCCTGATCTAATCATGAGCCCAAAAGCAAAGATACTCACTCTAGTAAGTATCGGGTTCTGGATCAGCTGCTGTGTATACATCCACTGGGAAACTAGACGTTCGGATATGAGGATTATGAGATTCCACCATTTTACAACAGTGGCACTACTCATTATTAATTATGTATACAGCTTCCACAGGATCGGACTAGTATGTTCGAAAGTTTTATAATTGACATCCTGCAGATCGTAATCATACTACACGACATACCGGATGTATTGCTTTTCAGCACCAAGTCACTCTCATATATGCGAAGCGTAGACGACCTTGTCACCGGGGCATTCTTCCTTACCTATGCCTTCTCACATTTCTTCTGCAGATTCTTGTTACTACTCAGATATGTAGCTTACCCACTTTTGGTAAACATGGATGTCGACGAGTTCTACGGAGGTGCGCTCAAGTACCTATGGTGCCTGCCTGGTGGTGTCATTTGCCCGTGCCTCCTAGTTGTGCTGACGGTAAGTATTGAAAGAAGGAAAAATAACCTTCATAGGTCATGAACATATACTGGATGAATCTGATCATAAACATGATCAGACATTTCATGAAGGGCAACCAAATAGGTAGGTCAAGGCTGCAACATTCAATACTGCCCGCAGAGGACGAAAGAGAAAAGGACGAGTGATCCGGTATCGGCTTCTAATGATTGGCCGTTATAACCTTGCTGGCATACGCCATATTACTGGTGTATTATAACGCAGTATGCTATATAGAACACATTTCGTGAATATGTAGTAAATTACATTCTATTCATTTCGTAATGCTGTTTTCACGCTGCAGTAGCGGCGTTCTCGCTCTTGGGTTCTTCCGAAGATACTTCATTTACTACTTCTTCAGTCTCCTTAATATCATCCTGACCTTCAACGGGCTCCGTGGTTAAAGTACACGTCATCATGGTTCGTGGCATCTCAGGAACAGCCTCGGGTTCTGCCTTCGCGGGCGTAGGGACGGCTTCGGGGGAGAGTGTTGATGGAGGGCGTACTGAGTAATCCAAGGGCATCAAAAGGGTTAACTTGAGATCATTGCCATCGTTTACTTCCTTAACCTGCTGGAGGTCATCTTCTAACAGCAAGCGCTGGTGAACCAAATGCATTTCTTCAAGAGTTAGATGTTTACTGCAACGTATTATCAAAAAGACAGATAAATCACAAACCCTTGACGGTTAGTGTAACCTTCCAGAAGATCTAACAGCAGCTCCTTTACCCTAAGAACAGTCTCTTGATCAAGTACAGTGAACGAGACCCTCCTAGCGAATAGCTTTCCAAACACAGGGCTGAAATAGACCCCGCAGCATTTGACAGCTGTACTTCATTAAACAAGCAGAAACCAAACTTACATGTTATCAAGTGTACAGTAACATTCAGGGAGCGACGTTCGTACAGATAAAAAGTCAACTCTGGTAGACCGACAACGTTGTATTCGCTCAATTGGCTTGTGTTTTTCAGCTGCTTGTGCCCGCAGAATAAGACAAACTTCTCTCCAGGATCACGTTCGTCATTGTAATCCGTGTTCAAGCACTTGAATTGATTGTCAATCAAAATGCAGATACTAGAAACCGTGATGTCACCAGATATGTTAGTCAGCGACAAAGTTGCTGGCACCTTATCACCAAAATTATTGTTAATTGTAATGTTCACCATCGTGAATAATCAGATGTTTACGTAATACGACGCGTAATGCACTAAAACACAATCACACCGCTTGGCAGATATGCAACCGAATATCACTTAGGAATATAACGTAATTGAGAAACAGATTCATTACAATTACCCCAAAATGTGCCACAGGCGGTGGATCGGTGCGGGGCAATGGATCCGGGCTCGGATCGCGCGGATCATACACACAAAAACCCGCAGCTTTATGGCCACTTAACGAACTTTCTATCCACTTTTACGAGTTTTACGGCATATGTCCGCCTTGGACTCCGTTAAAACACGTATGGTCTCCTCGGGGCAGCCAGATAAACAGGGGTTGTCCAGTAACTCCTGAAACAATAATGTTCGTGTGAGCTCACAAACCCACTTTCATACAATCGCAGCTAAGCATACACTCCTTCATTAACTGGTGCAGTGAACGGTAGCCACATGCCAATAGGCATTTGTAATCTGAAAGGAAGTGAGGGTCACTAAAGAAAGCATTACCATCGTCATCCAAACCATCCTCTCCAGCTTCCTCGCTACGTTCTTCGGAGTCGAATTCCGTAGAAATGTCCATGCCAATCGATTTGTACAACGAAGGTTCCTCGGGAACTGAAACACCATGATATAGTTGACACCTAGACATACCGGCAGTCAACTTGTTATGTCCCCATTCGATTATATCCATAAACGACTGTCTAGCGAAATCACCAACGTCCCGAAGGTCATGTGTCTTTCTTAGTTCGTTCACAGAGGCTAAATGTGGGTCAACTACAAACTACAGGTAACCTCACCTGCCAACAAGATAGAGCACAAAACGCGACAACACAACATATATGTTGTGTCATTACGGTACTCGAGGCTGTGCAATGGCTTGAACGAATCGACAACACCAAGGTCCTCGTCAAAGAGGTTAGGGAACAGCCAGAAGTCGTAGCCGCAGAACCAGAAGCAAACGAAGAGCACCAAACGCAAAAGAATGAGTGCAAACTGCAGTACGTTCACGATTATGCTATAATCACCTACCAATACTGCCAATAATACCACCGAAATGTACCAAACAGCCAACTTCAAAGCAAGAGGCCATGCCTGGAACATACAAATTGACTGTGCCACTATTTACAGAAAGTACAAGCTAACTTACGAAAATGCCCAAGATCATAGCAGTTAGCATAAAGTAGTTCCAACGCTGATTGCCCTCGTAGGATATTATATAGAATCCAACAGGGTCAAAACGTTGTTTTTGTGTCTTGATGAGGCGCTTAGGCCACGTTGGACGGCGGACTGAACAACAGTAAGAACGTGTATACATCTAACATACATGACCCTGTTGACGTCTTCTCGATGGTACCTTCAAACTGCGACATAATATGAAATGTTAAAAGGATTTAACATACCGGTTGGTACTGAGCACGGTACATGAACCCAGCTTCAATTAAAACGTTGCAGACACGCATGATGTCTTCATCTTCATCGTAGTTTATATCTAAATCTGCCAACAGCCTCGGACACTGAAACAACGATCACGATACTGAACTAACTAACATACCAGCTTGCAAACGGAATCTTTATTGTTAAGGATCCATTTAGCAATCTCGTCACCACGGGTATACTCAACGGCACGCTTACCAACCTGAACGTTAATGATGCCAGCATTTCGCCAGCTGTCGCAAAGAAACATGAGCCATTATGTGCAGCTATATATCACATTTTGAGACACAGCACCACGCCACTCGCTCGTATGACCACTAAAACACTTACCTCGGCCGCTGATTTCACCTTGATACCGCCGTTGAGCAGCGCTTCCATCAGCGCCACAGTTTCCTTCTTTAAAACATCATCATTCTATCGAATAATTACACTTGCACTATAATGAATCCTAGTCTTACCTTGTCTGCCATCTTGATATTAAATGTGCAGGGACTCCTACAGAGAACCAAATGTAATATAATAAGGGGAGATTCGCGCGGAGTCAGACGAATAGACAACCGCTAGATAATGTAAAATATTCTCGTTTATTTACACAACGTGTACTACGTGCGGCAAAGTTTGAAAAATACTATATATTGGAGATTTGAACGCGTTATGAGGAGACCCACGACCAAACGCCCTTTTGTAAACAGTAACCTGCCCAGTTACAATTAAAGACACTTTTAAATAGGTGAATCCTGCAGGTAGTCGACACCGGCGAGGCTCGGGAGGTGTTGGAGTTGAACATCCTATGGACGCGACAAATACACCGATATGAAAATACCACGTCAAATCGTATTTCAGGTCGCCAGAGGCTTCCGGGGACGTAGCAAAGGTTGTATTAAGTTAGCCTCAACCCGTGCAGCGAGGGCGTTGTTGTACTCCTTTAATGCTAGAAGAAAACGACACACATATATTCGCATACACTGGACGGCCACTGTTAATCGAGCTGCCAGAGAGTGGAACCTTACATACTCAAGATTCATAGGGTCATTGAATAATCTTAACTGTTGGCTCAACAGAAAGTCATTATTTATACTATCCCTGAACGAACCCGTTACCTTCAAGGCTTTAGTGGACGAATCAAAATACGCTCTGAGCGAACCTAGGCGTAAAATACGCGATATCAGCGGCCTCTAAAGCGGCACTGCCCGTATCGTATTTCAACACTGTTAGCTAATATAGGCTACAGCAAAAGGCTGTCCGCCACAAACATGCATATAATATCAGCTGACGTATCATTACATGGTATTTGATGTGACAAAACTGGTATCTACGGTGTGTAGTGGTGAGTGTGTGTTATTTGTGTTGGAGAAACAATGTCCAGATCGAAGGAGAACCGAAGTCCTACTGTGGACCACAAGGTAGTAGCATATGCTACACAGCAGCTGATAAATTTTAATAGCGGCAACAATTAGTTGGACACAATACTTCACTTGGTTTTCAAATATTCCGTCACGTTAGCTTCACCGGAAACAATGCGGGTGATCTCACCATTTTCCATGAACCAAATGTGTTGACAACAACGTAACGCACGCCTGTCGTGAGAAACAATGAAGGTAGTACAGTGTTTGAAGTATTGTTTTACAAGGTCATACACAGGCAGGAATCCTTCAAGTTCAGCTCCGTCTCCCGAAAGCTCTTCAGCACCTTCATCGGCACAATTCTCAGACGGAGGCTCGTCCACCAATAAAATACGGAAGTGGTTACGGTAGAGTAACAGGCGGGAGAACGACAACATGTGTAACTGTGAAAAGGAGAAGAATTGACGAGGTGTATCGCCATTTCCATCGGTTTCGTTAGAAGCCGGGGTCTCAATCACTAGTCCCTCACCTTTACCTTTGCGCAGCCTCAATAGAGGGGGGACCAGATACAAACCACCTGGCACGCGGGCATCATCCTCAACCATAATCGCGTCCAAAAAGTTATCTACAGGAAGAGTTTTTACAAGATCAAGTAAACCACAACATTCCAAGGCGCTCACGATTTCATCGTCCGAGTATAACATGCGGGGGTCAAGAAAACGGCGAAGGGTCCAACCTTTGAAAACAAACGGAATTTGAGGTAATACACCAATCACTTGGCGCAAAATGACACGAGGAATATCATTCATTTCACGGCCGTCAAGCAAAACAGAACCCTGACGATGACGAGCAATGTTTTGCAGCGCCCTGAATAATGTAGTCTTACCAGCGCCGGTACGTCCAACGATACCGATGATATCACCCGCAGTTGAAGTGCCGTTGACGTTCTTCAAAATAAACTTAGTGTTGCTGGCACCAGACTGTGCAACGGAGACATCTTTAAGGGCCACGGAATCGTGTTCTGCTGGCAAATATGTTAGAATGTCCGTAAATGTCATACGAGGTTTGTGGAATATGGCATGCCACAAGGATCGGTAATGACGAAATACGAAGTTGCGGGACTCAGTCCTACGACGATGCATTAATGCCGACTTACGCTTAGAACGGACTGATTCGTCTTCCGTAGAACTATTGTACAATATAATTTCATCCATGCTATCAAACTTCTCCTTAAGACTGTACTTGCCGCGGATCAAATAGTTCTCGAAACGCGACATGGAACACATAATCCTTTCGGCAACACCGTGACTGTTGACGAAGACACCAATAAGAGCATTCAGTTCCAAAAACAGCGTGATGATGAGTCCCAAATCAGCAATTCGGAGTTCACGCCCCGTTAAAACTGAGAAGCTAATCAGTAACACAGTTACTGTGACAATAGCGCAGGATGTCAAAAGCTTAGAAATAACCAAAATATAGGATGGAAGTGCTCTCCTCATAAAACGTGTGCGAAAGTAGTAGTCTGAACTCTCATACAAATATTCCATACATTGCGCTTCTCTCCTGTAACTACGATAAATCGAAGCACCCGAGGCAATATCCAAATACCTTCCGTTGATCCTGGACAACGCATCAAACATATAGCACTGTAACTTGTTTGATGATTTGATGTGGTTATCGAAAATCCTTGCGTACAAAAACCACACCATCAGTATAGGAATAGGAACAACTACAGGTGCGGCTGTACACATAGTCCCGAAGTGAACGAGCAACCTCAGGAAAGACATCAATGACAATAGACATGACCTTCCCAAAACTTCATCGATGAAGTACAAATCACCAGATAGCAAAGTAATAGTGTCACCAACTGACTTCTTTAGTGGAATCTCTTCACTGCTCTTGAAGAACAAGGAGTTCAAGGCGAATAAGTGAAGTTTCATGGAAGCGCACAAGTTGGCGACAGATGTCCAAATAGAATTACCGCATGTCAAAACGACATACAATGTCGTAAATGCAATAATAATCGTCAAATAGTGTTCGTTATCCTTCAACAACTTAATGCTATCGTCCGTTAACACATACTTTTCGCTGTCGCCTTTAACCGCATCGGACCAAACGGCTACTAAAATGAAGTTGGCCTTGTTAAAGGAAATAGCCATTAATAACATCAGAGTAATCATGGCACAGGTCACATAACCTACAGTCGAGAAGTATATTTTGTAGGAATCGGAAGTATTTCCCAGTCTTTGATGTAGATCGTTACCTTTCTCCCTCTGCTCCGTTGGACGGCACTCTCTCTGAGGGTTGAATTTTCCGAAGGGAGATGTGGAGATGTTTAGCACGTTGGCTCGAAGCACGTCATCAGGCATACCCGAAAGTGATCTGGGATTGTTAGTTATGGCTGACGCAGGACGCGCAAGGATCTCGGCCAATTCGGGAATATGTGTAGAAGGAGGAGGAACCTCGGCATGATGGGTTACCGCTAACCCGCTAGATTCTATGTGATAGACGGACACACCCACCTTTTTAAGGATATCGGTGGTTGTGAAACATGTGTCCATGGTAACCTTAGAAACCGTCATAATAACACCAACATCATCACGTCTAAGAAGACCATTTTCTCTGTTCAATAGGTTGCCGAGAATGGATACCGCAACCTTAGGATCTAAAGCGTGGAAAGGTTCATCGAGACAAACCAACAAACAAGACCTATTGTCAAGGTCTTCATTAGCCCTGCTATAGATCATGTACGCGTAGAGAGCACGTGCAAGGCTCACCCTTACACGTTGCCCACCACTCAATGAAAAACCTTGCTCCGAAACCTTACGCATATCACCATCGGCCCATTGCTTGAAATCTGTATCAAGCTCCGCTGAACGCACCACTTGGCTGTATACCTCTTCGTCATATTGATGGCCGAAGGTAATGATAGAACGAATGGTGCCTCTAGGTAGCCATACATCTTGTGAACTGTAGAATATGGGCATTNCAGATAAAGGCGCCACTGCCATGCTACCAGAAACCAAACTCATCTCTCCAAGCACAGCCTTGAGGAAACTTGTCTTACCACAACCTTGGTTACCAGTTACGATGCAAGCTTCTTTACATCTTAACATAAAAGATAGGTCGTTCAATATGATGGGATCATCGGGATTACTGGACATGTTCGACTCACAGCTATCGTACCAGGCAAACGATGCTTGGTTGAAGTAAACCAAAGTATCAGTCGAAGGAAGCCTGCCAGATGGTGTTGTGGACTGCCTTATGGCCTCGTCAGAAATGGTCACCTGTTGTTCTGTCTGTGCCGCAAGATAATAATTTGGTGAACAACCACTCAAGAACTTTTCAACACGCGTGATCGAGGCTAAAGCTTCGACAAGGAATTTCACAGTCTTAGGGAAGTTCTCTGTAGCCTTGGTCAATTTGCTGACAATGAACATAATCGTGAGTGGCGCACCAACGTCGAACACGGTGCCTGTCGATTTGTCAGTTACATCACGCACATAGTCCAGTAACATCACCAAGAAGACGATGGAACCTATAGTCATGGTCATACTGCCATTGAAAGCACACAAGACCGAATGGGTGAACAACACTGACATTTCATCTTCACGCGAATTCTGGATGATGTTATAACCTATATCTTCAAGACCCATGAACTTAATGATGTTGAAGCTTCCCATAATTTCTGCAGTTTTTGTGTAACGGTAGTCCTTGCAGTTCATCGAATGCAGGTATACATTTCCGTTTGTCACTTCAATAAAAGTGCTCACAAGCACAGTTCCACCCAAAATCAGGATCGACGGTAGCACGGCGACACCCATCTTACCTCGGATGATAACCACAGCTGTGACGAACGTTGTTATTAGACGTACACAAATGATCAAGGCATCAACCGGCAACATTAACGCGTATGTATCCAAGAGGAGCAACGAGTACATTTTGGGCGTGAACTCTTTATTCTGATATCTACGAGCTGGGCAGTTTAAGGGGTTCTCTGCACATGTCTCATTTTCACATGGCCACGAGTGGATGATGCCTTTGCACTCTGACAGGTTATTGCCATCATCCGCTTCAGCAGCGTAGGCACGACGATGACACATAGCGTGTTGGAAAAACGTAATAGAAATAGAAGATTCCATGATACATTCCACACGTGAGATATAGAATGTAAGGTGTTGTTCTAATACAGAGACCGCTAACTCCAGCGTGGCAATCATGACGGAGTACATGATGATTTGAATGTAGTCCTTCTGCTTTGAAACCATAACATCAATCATCTTTTTCAACAACATCGACATACCCACACCCACGGCATTCAAAATGATGGTGGCCATCATAATAAGAATGACACGGTTGCGGAATGTTTTGAAAAGCGCTCGCATGACGATACTGTGATATGGTTTCTTTGGAGCGGGACCTTTTCCTCCAGATATTTTGTAATATTTCGCCTTCTCCGCACGTATAATGCCATCACTCACATGCTTTGAAAAGATGGGTTGCCATAGAGCAATTTGATCAGATTTTGGAAGAGGGTGAAGGTTATGAGGTTCAAAAGCAGCCTTGCGGATGTTGTGAACCCAGTGGCGCAGCCAGCGGAAGAAAAGACGGCTGAACCAACTGACTTCATCGTAAATGTATCCAACTGGCGGCGGTATTTCCTCCATTTGAGCGGCCGCCGTAGCGCCGTTGCTGGCATCGTCGCCTTCCATGTCCGAGCCGAATAATGACTTGACCTTGAAAGTGAAGAAAAAAATATATTCTTTTCAATTAGAGAACAATTGTTGCCAAGAAAGCATACATTGGTGTTGGTAATCTATATTCTGGACAAAGTTATAGCCTTATAGGCAAAATTAATTCGCAGCCACGCTGCCGTCTACACACATCAACACATTCTACACACACCGTAAGATATACCAGGAAACGCAAAGATGTGCTCCAAGTAATACGGCTCGAGATATCCGGTCCGAGCGCAGATTAACCCCCATAATGTGCCGACAAATGTAATGGTTTTCCCCGGAAATCTCCGTAGTATCAGTGAGAAACACTAAGACAAAGGTAGAGCAGGCAATTCTCCATAACATTATGTGTACCAACGGTGCTGTACCTTTAAGAGCCGCTTAATATGCATGTCGCTTTGAATGTGCATGGGCCAGGTGGGCACACCCATTTTTAAGCCTAACTTTTCAAAATATTTGTTAAATGACCTGGACTACATATGACCTGGTGTGTGACATAGTGGTTCACATGACACATGAATCAAAACGGACGGTCGGTCACACACATCTTGCACATGCGGTTGTACACCGAAGCGTTGCTTCGCCGGCATCGTGAATTCATGATTATTGATGAATGACGTCTTAACATTCTTGTAAGTAGATTTAGTGACCCATAATCGTCAATTCTATACGACCTTCCGCTATTCATGTCTACTAGTATTAACGATATTTTGAAGTATAATTTAAGCGCTCTTTATAACCGGTCTAACCCTAAATGATGGTACCAATATCGCTATTATGTCCTATAATTGCCAGTCAAATATATTTGTTCAGCGGAAAAGGTCTACATTTATAAGTACAAAAAAATCAGAAGTGAGTAAATTCTAGCGTAGCGGGCTTTATTCATTGCAGCCTGCATTTATCTAGCAGAGTATGTCTATTACTCATATAATATTGAAAATTAAAAAAATAAGCTGCTAAGTTATTTGAAATGGCAGTGTTTTGATTGCAGAGTAAGCTATTTATTCTGTACTGAATAATTTGTAGCTAGGCCGCATGTTGAACGCAAACTTTGGCAATTTTCTGTTCTATATGAAGCGAAAAAAGTTGATATTATTTTTCTGCTGAGCAAGCCGTATATTTATGCCACGGCTTGCTACAGCCAAAAGTAACGAATATCCAGCTCAGTAATATATTAGTATAATATTAAGGACTCATCAGGAATAATTTCTCTAGATAAGCAGCAGAAGGTGCATATGTGATGTTTCTAATAAAGTTGATATAAAATTTGCGCAATCGCAAAAAAAAATATAAATACGCTAAGTTAAAGATCAATCATTGAAATTTTTGGAAAATGACACGTACTCGTTGGAAATGGGGAATGACTATATGCGCTATGGCATTTATATTAGTAGACACAATACGTGGAGTCGAATTGGATCTTAGTCAGGCCGAGGTACCTAAAAGTGTCGATGTTTATGAGGGGAAATTTGGTCAAGGTGGTATATATAGGATGTACCACTCCAAGGATGATCCCATATCTCTTGTGAAATACGGTAGCCTCAGGCTTGAGAGACCGAAAGGTATACAAAAAGTTCCAATAGATGTTTATGTTGAAGCATATAAACGTGATAAGGTATTAATGGTGGCGGTTAACCTATTTCACAGCATTCGTAAGCCGATTCTACGGAGATCCTATTTCGTTGTTGCTGATAAAGTTAACATTGTTCCACGTGATGCTAAAACTAGTTTTATTGGAGGACGCATCTATCTACCTCTGAATTTAATTAATACTCACCTGCATCCCTATGTACTAGTAGATTCTCCATTTCTGGGTTCACGAGGGTTCGTATGGCATATTGTGGAACACAATGATCATGGCCTAGGACAAAACCAGATAGGTCGTATGAGGTGCCGTAGAGAATCTTACTTCTTGAATCCTATCTTCAACATCGATGTAAAGTTCCTTGATACCAATGGTCCTAAGTCTTCACTCAGTTCACTAACGACGATGATAGAGGTTTCCCCATCAGGTGAAAATATAAAATTAAAAATAAAACTTGAAGACGCTGAAAAATTGATCAATCTAAAAATACCACCAGTTGAAAATGGCATTTTCAAACCTCAAAATATTATGGATGACACATATAACATCATAAAGTATCAACCGGGTTGTAATACCATAAGATATATTCATTTAATGGTTGACATATCTACTTTGGAGACCCAATTACCAGACATTGTTATTTTGGCGAACCTTAGAAGAGGTTGTTGGCTATATAGACAGTACAGCATTGCACCAATAAGGAAGCAAAAGTCCATACATTTTAGAATAATAAGCTCACTTCACAAGCTGCTGTTGTGCGAGGTAGATGGTGCCACAGGATTGACACACGTTGAGGTATTTGACCACATTAAACACGGGTGGCAGTATGTTGTAATTAATACAAAAGTCCCTTGTGAAAAAACGACCTCGGAGGATGCAGCATATATGGATGTCAAAAAGATATATAAACGCATGGAAGACCAGGGTAGCGTCGTATATTTCGACCTCAGCAAGTTCTGCGTCGAACCGTACCTAGATATGCTATATAACATCAATACACTTGAAAAAAGTTGTGATAAAGCATGTGGTAATGATATTGTGATGGATACATCGTCGTCATCTTCACTCTGTGACGATTTGTTCAAAGGTTATTAAGGATATAGTTATGTTGGGGTTGCTATCAATACTTTACTGGAGTTTTTTGGTCTGCCACCTTGGATAATGACAGAATGTCAACCAGTGAATACACTCGGTAATGTGTGTGGACACAGAATTTTCATCAAAGCATATACACATTGACCATATGGTTGTGTATACGTAATTTGCCACAATGAATATACGTGTTTCATACGGTGAGTCAATTACCTCGAAGACTTTCCGTGATGGCCGTGCCATACAGGAGGGGGGATCCACAACCGCAGACTAGTAAATGCACGGTTACAAATTAAACTCGAATCATTCCATGGCACATGTAATTATATGTTTTTCGATGCCGGAATGTTAGGTTGTTACGGGTGTGTTACATCTCGCGAATATAATGACCTATCGAATGTTGTATGAATATACCACCTTCCTACATCTTTAATAAATAAAAATGTTTGTTTGGGATATCGTCTAATACTAAGATGCTACTTTAAGAAGGATCGTGGTTTTGGGGGTCAAGAAACCGAAAAGTTCGTCACCGTTATTTGTAACTGTTACACAACGGCATAACATTACTTCAAACAAGAAACTTATATGCTAGTTGTCACGTGTGTTCGTGACAAATGGAATAATCTGGGTTTCGACCCAGCAGCACCGATGCTTTGGTGGAAAGGCAATACAGTTGTGAAAAAACTCAGGATTTCAATAAATCCGTTAATCTCAGCGGTGTCATAACATCGTATTCAAGTGCGATGTTATAGACGAACACCACAACCGTGGACCAGATGACATATGCGAGTGTGGGTCCATTGAGCTGTGGTTGATGAAAATAAGACAAAGGTTAGTAGATGAGACACAGATTGGAATGGTGACCAAAACGAGGCCAAAGTATCTTATATACTACAAGGATGGTGCCACTTAAGGGGCTTTTCGGAAGTGGGCGTTGCTTTCTCATATCGCCAATAAGGCTTGTGATTTACATGAGCGTGTAGGAGGAGATGGTATATATAATGTGGGCAGTGGTGGTAGGATGTATGCCTGGCTCATAATCGTGTCACTCATATTTGTATTGTTAGGATTTCTAATTGTCT